GCACTCCTAGTCCGGCCACTAGAACAGGAGCCACAAGGCCAGTCAGGAAAATATATAAAGCAGTAGTACATAATCAAGGTCATAGCAAGTGAGGAGCTACAGGACTAGACCAAGCTGTACACAGTGCCGCTGATGCTCTTTAGCCGTAAGCGCCTTAGTAAATATGTCATTTGTATTGGCAACGAAGGCCAAGTGTACTACGCGGGCCTGGCGGCGCAGATGTAGCTCGCGCAGGAGAAAGTATCGCAGTTGGATGTGCTTCGCTTTGCCCTCCAATCGAGGCTCGTGACACAGGAGGATCATGGCACTGTTGTCGGCATACAGCACCGGGGCAGAGCTAGGTCGCTCACCTAAGTCTGTGAGCAAGAAGGTCAGCCAGAGGAGCTCCTGTGCCGCCATGGCACCGGCGTAGATCTCAGCCTCACAACTAGACTGTGCAACAGACGACGAGCGGGTGGACCTCCACAAGATGGCGCCTACACCAAGGCTAAAGCAGTAGCCTTGGGAGGACCTGAGCGTCTCAGCGTCGTCCGCCCACGAAGTGTCTGTGTGCCCTGTAAGGACCACATGCCTCGTCCTCCTAGCACTAGCCCCATGTCCGATGTACATACTAGATAACGCAAAACCCTCTTAGCGGCCGACCAGTGCTGTGGTCGGTGTCTGCTTGTGGCCACAAAGCGAGCCAGGATGCTGAGAAGGTATGCGAGATCTAGACGAATGCAAGTCATCAGGTACATGAGGCAACCCACCAGCTCTGCGTATGGACCACTAGGCTCCGTTGCACACCAAGTGTGACTGTGTGGGAGTGATGGTGCGCGCTGCTCTGTCCCTGGAGATCCGCAGGCCAAGGTAGCGGAGCAGCTCTCCTAGATCAGTGCAGGTGTGTCGCCTCAGCAGCCCAGCCTTAACGGAGGCCAATGCGTCTCTCTCTGCAGTAGCGAAGACCAGGTCGTCTACGTAGAGAAGGACGTAAAACGGAGTTTGGCCTGAACGAACGAAGAGCAAAGGGTCTGCAGACAACGGAAAGAACTGCAGGTCAGCTAACGTAGCACGCATCGTATCGTGCCATTCACGCGGCGCCTGTCGAAGGCCGTAAATCAGGTGCCTGAGATGCCACTGGGTCCCAGGGGTGAAGGTGCCAGTGAAGCCTGGCGGGCAACGCAGGTAGACCTGCTCGTGCAGACTGCCCGAAGAAACGCTGTAGAGAAGTCGAAGGAGTGGAGCTCGTAGCCACGATGTGCTGCTACGTGTAGCAGCGCCCGAAGAGTAGTTATCTTCGGGGTCGGGGCGAAGGTCTGGAAGAAGTCAACACCGTCACACTGACTGAAGCCTCTAGCAATGTAGTACGCCTTGAACACCGACGGCTCTCCGGGAGGGCGCTTCGCCTTGAAGAGCCACGAGCCATTGACTGTGTTCACCCCAGGGGGGGGAACTGTGTCGACGTAGGTGCCGGTGGATCTCCAAGATGCCATCTCCGCGTCCATGGTAGCTATCCACTGAGAGGTCCAGGGTCCCGAGGTCACCTCAGTGTAATGCGAGGGGTCGGGATGTCAAGGGCATCTGGGTCACCCTTAAGGACTAGCAGCATGGAGCAGAGATGGGGAGCGGCCTCGGACAGGAAAGCTAGCTCGTACTGCATATCCTCTAGGACGTCACTGCCAAGGGAAGGTGCACCCCTGACGGGCGGAGGATGCTCAGGGTCAGAGACTAGAGTTGTGGCGTATTCAAGGCGATGGGTAGAGGCAAAGTCAGCGACAGCAGCGACAAGAGCGTCAAGACTCGAGACAGGAACGGACGGGTCGGTGACCAGAGAGTCAAAAATGCAAGGCACAAGCGGACTAGCGACACGAAGGAAGTAAGATAGAGGAGGCGATGGTAGAAGAGGAGCACGAGACACGTGAGAGCGGAGCATCATAGGGTGAGAGTGCTAAACAGGAGAAATGGAAGAGCACGAGGGGCTTGGTGAGACCACCAGCGGGAGGGGCGGATCGGGTCAGGAGACAAGGGAGGCGACACAGGAGGAGAACGAGGGGGGAATTGCACGGGGGATGAGTCCGGTGGAGGAAACACAGGGCCATAGACAAGTGCAGGAGGCGGCGATGGGGGAGGCCCAGGCGGGCGGTCGGGGGAGGGAAGGTCCAGGAGGCGAAGGGCGGACACTGGCGGCAACTGCTGCTCCTGCTCCACGCTGACGTTAGAACCTCTAGCTGCACCACGGCTACCTCCAGGACGCTCCACGATAGCACCTCCAGAACAAGAACCCTCTCAGCACCGATGCCAACCCCAGGTTCATCGGGACAAGCCACGACAGTACCCCTTGGACTAGCACCCCCAAAACCAGCACCCTCTCCAGCACCGATGCCACCCTCTGGACTGGCGGGACAAGCCACGACACTCCCCCCAGGATTAGCACCCTCCTCAATACCCACACTCCCAGAGCTCGCGGACCACTGCGGTGGCTAGTGCTGTGGCGGCAGCAACTTTGGCTGCTGCAGCGGCTACGACGGCGGCTGCTGCTGCGGCGGCGACGGCGGCTGCTGCTGCGGCGGCGATGGCGTCGGCTGCTGTGGTGGTGGAGGAGGAGACACCGGGGCGGAGATAAGCGGCGAAACCGAAGCTGCCGGGCCCCTGGAGTCAGCCGACTCCTCCATCTGGAAAACCGACGGGAGGGGAGTGACGTGAGACACACCAGACGGGGCAGGACCGGGAGGGAGAGGAGCAGGGGCTATTGGGGGAGTGGGGATCAGGAACAGGGGCAGGTTAACCGGGATACCTCAGAGAGGAAAGCGGGCGTAGAAGGAGATAGACTCGTTAAAAGCGACATTACGAGAGTGCAAGAAATGGTGCGACGACGAGTGGTAAAAGTGCCAGTCAGACACGTTTAGGGGGAAGCCAAGGAAGACACAAGGGACGGTGCGGGCAGTGAGCTTGCCCGTGCCAGAGGCACGAACATGAGCAAGGCAACCCCATTTGTAGAACGCAGACGTGTCACTCGGGGACCCGGTCCAGAGGAGGGTCGGCGAAACCTATGGTTGCTGGGAGTGCGGCCACAGGTTAAGCTGGTGAGCGGCGTAGCGAACAGCGAACGGCCACAGAAAATGGGGTCCGCCGACATGGATCATGGAGTTAGGAGCCACCTCCATGACCAAACCAATGCGTCGCTCAGCGGTCCCATTATGCTATGGGGAGTTCGGCAAGGTGTACGATGGGATGATGCCCTCCGCACGACAGAACTGTCCAAGCCGACCAGAGGCGAACTCGCCGCCACAATCAGAGTGGAGACACAACATAGGGAGACCGCGGTGGAAGCGCGCAGCTACGACCCACGGGAAAAAAATGTCAACACATGGGCCTTCCGCTCCAGGGGAGACACTATGGTGTAGCGCATGTAGTCGTCGACAAGCACTAGTGAAGGGCTGAATGAAGTCCCACCATCGTGCTGACTGAAGCCTCTAGCCACGTAGAGCGCCTTGAACGCAGGCGGCTCTCCAGGTGGGCGCTTCACCTTGAAGAGCCACCGACCATCGACTACGTTCACCCCAGGCGGGAGAACTGCGTCGATGTAGGTGCTGGTAGATCTCCAAGATGCCATCTCCTCCTCCATGGCAGCTATCCACTGAGAGGCCCAGGGTCCTGAGATCGCCTCAGCGTAAGTGGAAGAGTCGTGATGTAAAAGGCATCAGTATCAATCTCAGGGACTAGCAGCATGGAACAGAGATGGGGAGCAGCCTCAGACAGGAGAGCAAGCTCGTAGTGCCTGTCCTCTAGGACGTCACTGCCAAGGGCAGGAAGCAACCCCGATGGACGGAGGGCACGCAGGGCCAGAGACTAGAGCTGTGGCGTAGTCAAGGCGGCGGGTAGAGGCGAAGTCAGCGACAGCAGCGACAAGAGCGTCAAGACTCGAGACAAGAACCGACGAGTCAGTAACGAGAGAGGCAAGGACCGTGGAACAAGAGGATGAGCAGCTCGAAGGTAGTCAGATAGAGAGGGAGGCGTGACAACGAGCAACGACGGAGGAGGCGTCGGGAGGAGGGGAGGACGAGACCCGTGGGAATGAAGCAACATAGGGTGAGAACGCTGAACAGGAAAGATAGGGCGAGCACGAGAGGGACGGCGAAACCAGACGTGAGACGGAGGCGTCTGGTTAGGAGACAGAGGAGGAGACACAAGAGGGGAACAAGGGGGAAGACGAGCTGGAGACGAGTCTGACGGAGGGAACACAGGGCCCTAGATAGGCAGAGGAGGCGGCGGCGGGGAAGGCGCCGGCGGGTGGTCAGGGGAGGAAAGGCCGAGCAGGCGAAGGGCGGACACTTGCTGTGACTGCTGATGCTGCACCTTGACGCCAACATCTTAACCACAAGCTGCACCACGGCTACCATCGGAACACTCCACTCCAGCACCCCCAAAACGGGCACCCCTAGAGCGAGAACTGTCTCCAACACCTGTGCTACCCCCAGGCCCGCCGAGACAAGCCACGACAGGAACCCCAGGACTAGCATCCTCCTCAACGCCAACACCCCCAGGGTCCACGGACAGCTGCTGCTGCTGCGGCGGCGGCGGCTGGGGCGACGGCTTTGGCGGTTGCTGCGGTGGCGACTGTGACGGCGGAGGAGGAGACACCGGGGGAGAGGCATGCAGCAAGAACCGCGCCGCGGGGCCACCAGAGTCAGCCGACTCCTCGACCGGGACAACCGACGAGAGGGTAGTGACGTGAGACACACCAGACAGAGTAGGGCGGGGAGGGAGGGGAGCAGGGGCTACCGGGGGAGTGGGTACCAGAAACAGGGAAGGGGAAACCGGGAGACCTCAGTGGGGAAAGCGGTAGTAAAAGGAGACAGACTTATCGATTGTGGCGTTACGAGAGTGAAAGAAGCGGTGGGACGGCGGGTGGCAAAAGTGCCAGTCAGACGAGTCAAGAGGAAAACCGAGGAAGACACAGTGGACAGTGCGGGCAGTGAGCTTATCCGTGCCAGAGGCACGAACGTGAGCGAGGCAGCCCCAGATGTGGAACGCGGACGCATCACCTGGGAACCCGGTCCAATGAAGGGTCGGCAAAACCTGCGACCGCTGGGAGCGCGGCCACAGGTTAAGCTGGTGAGCGGCGTAGGGAACGGCGAACGGCCACAGAAAATGGGGTGCACGGGCATGAATCATGGATGTACGAGCCACCTCCATGACCAAACCAATGCGTCGCTCAGCGACCCCATTCTGCTGAGGGAGTCCGGTAGGGTGTACGACTAGGTGATGCACTCCGCACGATAGAACTGTCCAAGCCGAGCAGAGGCGAACTCGCCGCCACGGTCGGAGTGGAGACACAACATAGGGAGACCGCGGTGGAGACACGCAGCTACGACCCACGGGATAAGAACGTCAGGCACGTCGGCCTTCCGCTCCAGGGGAAACACCATGGTGTAGTGCGTGAAGTCGTCGACGAGCACCAGAAAGTAGCGCTCGCGACGCGGTCCAGGGATGGGGGATGGGCCCCACACATCCAGGTGTAGGGTCTGGAGGGGTGCGGTGGTAGGGCGAAGCAACGAGAAGTGAGGGGCACGGCGCAACTGGCCCTCGATGCTGGGCGTGCATAAGGGTGCAGGCGAGGGAGGGAGGGCAGAAAGCGACGCAAGGAGTCCTAGGACTAGACCATGCTGAGACATGTGACGCAGACACGGGAGCGCAGGGTGACCTAGGTGGTGGTGCCACAGAAGCGACTAGTGAGTGAGCGACCGACACGAGCAAGCTGCAGCGACCTGGGTAGACGCAGGACCCGGGGAGGACGCGCCCACCGGGGGGGAAGTAGTGTCCAGCATAAACAGGCCAGAGACCGGGTCCCGGGGGAACGTCGCAAGGGGGGCACCTGAGGCGGCCTCGGTACAGATAGCGTACCGCTCGTGACCAGGGAACGTAGTGGTGACGCCGAGGTCCTGAAGACAGCCGACACCAACTAAGTTCCTGGAGAACGACGGGATGTGCAAACCTATAAGGGAACCCGAGGGGTCGGCTAGACTGGGAAGGGTAGTGTAGCTGCGAGCAACGACAGGACCCGAGGAGGGGTCAGCAAGTGCGACAGCGGCAGGCGCGGCAAGCGGCGTGAGTGCGGCGTGGTTGCGGAAGAAGCTGGCAAACGCACCGGAGTCAAGTGTGAAGGACAGCAAAGCAGTAGTGGCCGTCGAAGGAGGAGCGAATGTGGAGCCTAGGTAGATAGGGCAAACTGTCCTATACCTGACGCAGCAGGGGAGTCTGTACTACACGCAGCTGCTACGCCTAAGCTAAAGAACGCCGGGTAATAAGATCCGGATTCACTAGAAGCGTCAACACACATAGCATGCAGGGCAGAACTAATATGATCCATGTTAAACTCAAAAACAAGCACACCGTGGCGCAGCAGACTAGGCCAGTCAGGGAGGTCCGGGGCCGGGCCAAAGCGGCGACGAAAGAGGTCGTCGAGGCCGCAGAAGCAGCGGGCGGTCGGGTGCGGGTGGCGGCATACAGTGCCACGGAGAGGGCCGGTCTTGAGCTGGTACTGACAGCTCACAGCACCAAAGCTACCAGTAGACGCCGAGCTGCGAGGACCGCCACCGCGGCCACCACCTCCAGAGGCTCCTGACCACCCCGGCGGGAGGTGGGCCCACGGCTGCTGCTGCTGCTGCTGCGGCTGTTTCTGGGGTTGCTGCTGCTGTGATGACTGCTGCTGCGTCTGCTGTGGGTGTTGCTGCTCCTGGCCACCAGCCCCAACCCCCTCGTCAGAACCACTGTCCCCCCCGCCACCACCACCACCACCACCACCACCACCACCACCACCACCACCACCACCACCACCACCACCACCACCACCACCACCACCACCACCACCACCACTACCACCACCACGCCCTCCCTTGGGGCCACGACGGCCCCGACGTTGTCGCTGCTGCGGGAACACCGCAGCTGCAGTCTCAGTGGTAGGGGCAGTTGTAGCGACCGCGACGGAAACGTCAGTGTACGTGCATTGGGAGGGAGCACAACCCTGAAAGATAGGGACTGCCGCAACACCACTCGACTGAACGATAGGGCGCTAGCGAGTCTCTATCTCAGACAGGGGAGTGGCTAGGTGGAGTGGCTAAGCGGTCAGGCAGGCGCATGGCAATAAGGTACAGGGTATTGCAGAACGGTGGGGGGAAGACAGTGAGCTTGGCGGTAGTGGTAGCACCACGGTAGCTAGTCTCTAGTGCACAGAGGTGAGTGGCGAGGTCAGCGACAGTGGGGAAAGCGAAAAGATCAGGGAAGAGCATGGGGAGGATCAAGCGGCCAGCAGAGGCGGGGGGGGGGTGTGGAGTAGTGCGCAACTACTGCATCTATGAAATCCTTGGCGTTCGCGATAGTAGTGAAGCGCGGACGCTCAGATATGGGAAGGGCATGACTAATGGCGAGCTGCGCTACAGCATCGTTGGAATCCCAGACAGTGCAAGCGAGCGCAGCAGCAGAGAAGGCCTTATGCTCAGTAGTGGTGGAGTCAGCAGGGAGGGGATCAGGCGCGGGGGGGTGGGGAAGCAAGCCATGAACATGCATAGCCAGAGAGTGCCCATCCTGGCGCCGACCTGTCAGGTGACGGCGAAGATCGACAAGCCAGGCGGCGAAGTCGGTCGCGTGCCCCCCTGCGTCCAGGCGGAGTACGGCGTCTGCCATCGTGCAACCTCTGTGTCACAGCTCCACGGCGGCACATCGACACGGCGGCACAGCGGCACAGGTACTCAGCGCCACGGCGGCACAGCGGCGTGGCGGCAGGACTCTCCGTCGGGAAGACCGGGCGGAAGGCCGAGCAGGGCGCACAGGGCCCGAGGCGTGCAGCAAGCAGGCAGGGCGCAAAGGGTTGGCGGAGCGCTAGGGCTCGGTGGGGCGCTAGGGCCAGCGGGCGCTCAAGGGGCTGGCAAGGCGGCTAGGGCCGGCGGGGCACTAAGGGTCGGCGAGGCACGAAGGGCCGGCGGGCACTGGAGGGGCCGACGAGGTACGCGAGGAGCCGGCGGGGTACATGAGGGGTCGGCGAGCACGAGAGGGGCCGGCAAGCGCGAAGGGCCAATGAGGCGCGCGAGGGACCGGCAGTGTGTGCGAGGGGCCGGCAATGTACGCAAGGGGCCGGCGAGCACGCGAGGGGCCGGCGAGGCGCGAAGGGTCAGGGGGGGGGGGGGGGGGGGGCATGGGGGGGGCAGGTGGGCATGCGATGGGGCCGGCGGGGTATGCGAGGGGCAGGCGGGGTACGCGAGGGGCAGGAGGGCACGAGTGGGGCCGGCGGGGCGCTAAGGGCCGGCAAGGCCCGCTAGGGGCCGGCGGGGTACGCGAGGGGCCGGCGCTGCGCTGAGGGCCAGTGGGGCGCTAAGGGCCGGCAGGCACGCTAGGGGCCGGGGGGGGGTTACGCGAGGGGCCTGTGGGGCGCTAGGGGCCGGCGGGGCGCGGTAAGGCTAGGGTACGACGGGGCGGTAGGCTTGGGCGGTAGGCTAGGGCGAGGGGCGGAAGCGGGTCGGCGGACCTAACCTACTATGATACCATGTTAGAACAACAGAATGAATAGAAATGACGGATACAGAGGAACATATGGTTGGGTGTTGTACTCTCTAAGAGCACTAGCCCTTCTAGCCTATAACTAAACATATGCAAATATGTATAAGTTGACACACGTTTCTGTGGCCCATTCAAGATAATGAAGATTGTGACGCCGGTGACAACCAGTTGCGCCTACCTGAGGATTGGGGTATTCATAATAAGTTCCACATGAGCCTGTTGCGACCCCTCGTACCGGACACATCAGGCATCGCTCGAAAACTATTGGTCCCGGGTGTACGGCCACCAGCAGAGACGACCATCGAGCCTTCAAAGATTTTGAGCCATAGGATTCGTATCGACGGCCAAGAACGACACGTTGACTTTCTGATACGATGGACAAATCGTACCAGTGAGGACGATACGTGGGTGCCCTCGGATCAGGTAAAGTCACCTTCGATACTTACGAATTATTTGGCCTGCAAGCACGTGGCTGATATAGATCACCTTCGCTAAGGGGGGGGTTGGGTGGTGTAAGGAATTTTCCATTCCTTACCGAGTGGTACTGCTACGCTCGAACACACCCAAAGCCTCGGGACGGTTCCGGACCTTTCTGACAGAACAGCATCGGCCTCTCCACACCTTCTTGCTCGACCTTCAGGAGTTCTCCGAGCCTCACTTCGTCACTTCGAGGCCCTTCGATCTCCTTCCCGAACCTTCACATCTCATGGTTAGACTAGCTCTGGTGTTCCTATATCTTGGCTTGCCTTTCCTTGTATCGTCATTCAGCGATTCAACACTTTGTTATTCATTTCCGCTCTACTCTGCTTGTTCATGCATAACACTCTACATGTTGAGAATGTAATTAACCAATCGTCTACCGGTATATTGCATTTTTGTTGTTCTATAACCCTGTATCGCAGAGTTGAGGCAGGATGGAAATTGAAAGCGCAAGGTTCGAGAGTCATCAGCACACCTTGGGCGGGCTGCCCACCAAATTCGTTCAGTGAAGGGTGCTTGTCACGTAAGCTGACTGTGCTTCTGCAACCACGTCAGTGGCACTTAGCCATTTCGACTCAGCCACGTCGTCAGTCAACTCATTCACCCAGCCGGTCCCGTGCTTGATCCTGAGCACCAGAGCTGTCCACGTCTCTCGTAGAAATTCGCGCATCAGATCCAGCCACGTGGAAGACTTTTTTTTCCTGGTTCCCAAAAAGTTGCACCAGGTGCAGTGCGCTGCGCTGAAGTGGACGGAGGGGAGATGCCACCCCCTCGATTCGCATTTCATCAGTGCCCGTACAAATTCAGAATTTCACTGCGAGAATTATACAACTGGCAATTTCTCGCCTATTCCTCGTTGATTAGCTCTCGAACCGATCGTCCTAGCTAACGCCATGGCTTCCGCACTCGTAGCTCGTCAGGCGCTCTCCGCCCTCTCTTTCAGAACCGCAGTCAGAGGTGCTCAGATTGCCTCACCCAATTTCACCGCCGTTGCGCCAACCGCGCCGCGCGGACTCGGTGTCTCCGCCCTCTTCAGTTCCCGCAAAGCCGCCGTCCCCACTAAGAGCGTCCCCGCTACCAAGACCCGCACAGAGGACGGCATCTTCGGCACATCTGGCGGTTTCGGCTTCACGAAAGCCAACGAGCTCTTCGTGGGGCGCGTCGCCATGCTCGGCTTCGCGGCTTCTCTCCTCGGCGAGGCGGTGACTGGAGCTGGGATTCTCTCGCAGCTCAACATCGAAACGGGGATCCCTATAACGGAGACGGAGCCGCTGCTGCTCTTCTTCATCGCATTCACCGTGCTCGGCGCGATCGGTGGGCTGGGCGACCGCGGGCGATTCGTGGACGACGAGCCGGTCGGGCCACCCGTGAAGCCCGGCAGTATCAAGGCAGCGCTCGGGCTCAGCGAGGATGGGCCTCTGTTCGGGTTTACCAAGGCGAACGAATTGTTTGTCGGGCGGTTGGCGCAATTAGGGTTTGCGGCGAGTTTGATTGGCGAGGTGATCACGGGGAGGGGAGCTTTGGCGCAGTTGAATGTCGAAATTGGCGTGCCCATTTGGGAGCTCGAGCCGCTGCTGCTCGCGAGCATCGCATTTTTCTTCGTTGCTGCGATCAATCCCGGTACAGGGAAGTTCATTAACGATGATGACGAGTGAGTAGACTATGCTACAATCTTGATGTACATATAGTTTGTGTACTAGCATTTATTCAACAAGTTATGCTCAAATGGCATCAAATGTCTTGTGTTTCTGATCTCCTCTGCGTAGCTTATTGATTTCCCCTGACAGAGCCTGACTCGGTTCTGTCTCCGCACACACATGCCGAGTTGATTTGTGTCACCTCAAACGAGCGTGAACAACACATTCACATCATGGAGACCCAAGCAGTCACACCATGCCCACACCATGCCGTCACAGCATCCACTGTAGTCACACTCTCAACACTCACAGCAGCCACTGACAACATCCACAGCGTTCTCTGTATGTGCATTCACATCATCTTGGCTAGTCTAAATGGTTAATCCTCAGACAGAATTGTCTCACGCAAAGACTCAAAAGGATGGTGTTCTACGATCCGATGAAGCCAGAGGGTGTACTCTCCAACAACAGATTACTCTGAACCTCCCACGTCCTTTCTCCCATACTATGTCCAAACTGCCATCCCCCATGCCCCATGCACGGTGGCATGCAGTTCCTTTGTGAGAAAGCAAGTTTTCTGAACCTCAGGTTCAAAACAACAGATGGGTGGAAGGTGGTCTAGACGCAATCAGAGTGGTTCCACGCATAATAGCGTGGTATTCTTGCTCGTTCAGCTGTCGAGCCTCGTTTGAACCTAAAAGCACCGCGTCCTTACTGCCACATGCAGTCCTTCTGGCACACCACCTGACATATGGTAGCCCTCTGGACATCACCCTCAGAAGTACTTCAGCACTCTCTTTGCCTCTCGTACTCCAGACAAATACGCCCCGTGCACGGTGGCCTGGTACTGCCAGATGGTGTGCTCTCCAGCAAACAGCACCCGGCCCTCAGGCAGCCCCATGCGATCATAATCCGTGCAGTGGTCCTCGTCCCCCGCCACGCCAATCCGCGCATAGCTGTACGCGCCACGCGCATACGGGTCGTCGCTCCACCGCTGCACCCATGTGGCTATCGCCTGTACCGGCTTCTTCCTATACCGGGAAAACATGCGCTGCATCTTCGCCTGGGCGTCTGCGATCACGGCTGCATCAGTCATCTGGGCCATTCGCTCCGCATACTCCCCCAGTGCCACCCCCTCCAGCGCCGTCTGCCCCCACGCCCGCTTCAGGTTCACCCAATCCACCCACCGCCCGCGATTCCCGGGCAGCTGCCCGTCCTCGATGAAATATTCGTCCACGTTGACGGGCCAGAATGTCTCGTTGAAGAAGAAAAAAATCTTGTTGATCGAGCCCACGCCGAGGCGGGCCATGGCGCCCGTTTTCCGGGCGGAGAGGGCCGGCTGGAAGGAGATGGTGTTGGCTTTAAGCACGCCGAGGGGGATGGTGACTATAGCGACGTCAGCTGTGAGGGAGGTGGTGGCGCCGGTGGCGGTGTTCTTGCCGGTGATCGTGACTTTGGGTGCTGCACCTGATGACTGAGAGATGTCGGTCACTTCGAAGTTTAGCATGAGCTGAGCGCCTGCTGTTTGTGCTTCCTGTGGTGTAGGTGAGTGGAGGGAGGGGGAGCGGGAGGGGAGAGGGAGGGGGATGGGTGAATGGTGAGTTTGGAGCGAAGTGGGAGGAGTGAGGAGAGCAGAGAGGTGAGAGGGGACTGAAGAGGGGGAATGATGGAGCCGAGAGGAGGGTGAAGAGTGAAGTGAGGAGAGCAAAGGTGAGAGTAGAGAGCGAAGAGAGGCGAACAGAGCAGAAAAAAAGGAAGAATGGGGAATTTGAAAGGAAATAGCGCTCCAAGCTCGTGTAAAATATACGACAAAATGAGGCACGAGAGGAATCACGGGGCATTTTTACCCCACTGTAGGATGAGCCAGCCCTCGGTCCAACCTGTGAAAAGAACGCACATGCCTCATCCATCCCCCTCCATCCCCCCGCAACTCCATAAGCTTCTTCGGTATGGTATCAAAGCCGTTATCAACCACCATTGTTTTCGTTGCTTCTCATTCAACCCGTCATTCCCCAACCTCTCCTCCTGGCCATCTCCCCTCACCTCCATAAGCTTCTTAGGTATGTCATCAAAGCAATCGGTAGCCACCACCCTGATGCTTGAGTCTCACTCAAACCACGTACCCCTGCACCATCTCCCCCTCACCTCCATCAGCTTTCTGGGTATGTTATCAAAGCCATTGGTAACAACCAGCGGCTTGTTACAGTGCAAGAGGTTCAAGGATGCTCGCAATGAGCCACTCCTCTCCCCTCCCTCACCTCCATGAGCTACTTGGGTATGTTGTCAAAGCGGATGATAACCACAAGCCTTGGAAGGTTTCCGCGAGAGGCTGGTTCAAGAGCTGTCATCCACCCCACACACTACCCTCTTACCCCCCCCCCCCCCCCCTTTCCCTCACCTCATGAGCTTCTTGGAAATGTTGTCAAACGCGTGGGTAACCACCAGCATGGGCGGCTGGTTGCATTCCACTTGATTGGAAGTTGCCAGTGCACAGTAAAGCACCCTTTAAGCCATCCCCCCCTCACCTCCATGAGCTTCTTGGGTATGTTGTCGAAGCCGTTGGTAACCACGACTGTGGGCGGCTTGAAAGCGAGCGAGTCATAGTACCACGCAGAGAGGTGCGAGAGGGTGGTGCCATAATTGAACTCAAAGTCCACTGAGAGGCGCGACTGGGGGATACGGTAGAAGCGGTAGGAGGGGTGAACAGAGAATGTGGGCCAAAAGGGAATGCACGGGCTTGAAGGCGTGGGGGCATGCAGAGGGCGGCTTGGACGGAGTGAGGGCATGCAGAAGACGGCTTGAAGGAGTGAGTTGTGGTATCCTGCACGGAGAGGTGGGAGAGAGAGCGGTGCTGAGATTTAACTCCTAGTCCACTGAGAGGCGCGCGACTGCGGGGGGATGGGGGAGGTAGAATTCGGGCGAAAGGTACAAGATTTAGACCATAAAGGAGTGCGTGTGAGAGGTGAGAGGTGAGAGGTGAGAGGTGAGAGGGTGAGAGGGTGAGAGGTGAGAGGGTGAGAGAGGGCAGTGCCGAAACTGAACTTGTAGTCCACTGAGAGGCGCGACTGCAGAGAAGCACAGGAGGAATCAACACCACCCACATTCTTCTCTCGTCTGCGCCCTCCCTCGCACCCTCACCTTCCCCCTAGGATACTTCTGAGTCGACTCAATAGTCACCTCGTTACAATGTCACATGACACTTTTTGAGTCGAATCGATAGTCATTCTTCTCGCATTTGCACCCTGCCTCGCACCCTGACCTCCCTCACTCGCCAACTCTGCCCCTCCCTTCCCACCTGCACGTAAGGCTGCTGGCCAGAACAGCCGTCGCTTCCAACCAAGGCCCACAGGTGAGCGCCTGCTGCAGCAGAGTCACGTCCTTGTCCTGCCGGTTGGCCCATGCCAGCCCTTGCCACAATCGTGCTCTCCTCCACTTTTCCCATTCACCCCCCCTCTGCCCTCTCTCTCCCCTACCTGCACATAGGCCGTCCGGAAGATACGTCGCTTCCACGTCCTTGTTCTGACGCCACGCCCACGCCAGCCTCTGCTGTCATCATCTGCGCTTTGCCTCATCCTCTCTCCCCCACTCCTTACCTGCACGTCGGGGGCATCCAGAATATGCGCCACTTCCACGGCCCACTGGTAAAGGCCTGCTGCAGAGTCACGTCCTTGTTCTGCCGCCACGGCCACGGCCACGCCCACACCAGCCCTTGCCATAGTCATCTGCACCTTGTCTCCATTCTCTCTCCCGCCCCTTCCACGCCCTCCCCGCCTCCCCTGCATACCCCTACCTGCACGTAGGGCGTCTGAAAGATACGTCGCTTCCACGGCCCACTCGTAAACGCCTGCTGCACAGTCACGTCCTTATTCTGACGCCACGCCCACGCCAGCCCTTGCCGCACCAGCGTCTTATACTGCGCCTCCGCTGCCACCCACCTGGCGTCCCCGTAACGCTTCCCATTGGCCGTGAACTGTATCTCCCGCCCGTTCTGCCGCCCGATGCTGAGCTTGAAGCGCCGGGCTAGCGAGTAAATCGGGTTACCTGTAGCAGGAAGAATGAATATGAAGGAGCATGCTGAGCTTGAACCGACTGGCTAGCGTGTAAACAAGGTTACCTGCAAGCTGGGAATGGCGGGTTCTAGGAGTGGAATTCCAGAGAATCGTAACCGCATTGGAAGATTGGTTGGGTACTTTTTTTCAGGCGCCTGGAGAATTGGAAGGTTGGCAGCAAGATCAGCGAATTTCGGAAGTCAATGGATTCTGGAATCGAAGGCTGTGAGGTCAGTGGGTGGGTGGCACCAGTCAAACTCTGTGAGAGTGGTATCCAGGTTACCTGTAGCGCCCTCGATCCATCGCGCGCCCAACTCCCTTAGAGAATGCTGTTGGAGAGCCAACAGGGTCACCAACAGTGCTGATAACCCTGGCAAGCAGTCTGGTAACCAGGTCAACTGAGAGTGGTAACCAAGTTACCAGTAGTGCCCTTGATCCACTGCGTGCCCATCTCGCCTCTCAGGAAGGCCGTGGGAGAGCAGCCAGGGCCACTGATAGAAGTGTAACCTGGGTAGCGACATCAAATATCCAGGCCAATTTAGAGTGGTAACCAGGACAAGTTACCTGTAGCGCCCTCGATCCACTGCGCGCCCATCTCCCCTCTGAAAAACGTAGTGGGCGAGCCAGCAGGGGCGGCCTCCGTTCGGCTCCACATGCGCCCGCCCACCCTGTTGCGCGCCTCCACCACCGTCACCTGCGGGGCCGGAGGGAGGAGGGGGAGAGCACGCAATGAGAGGACTGGCGAGGAGTCTGACATTTCGTTCGGCTCCACAAGGCCCCGCCCACCCTGCTGCGCAAAACAACCACCGCCTTCTGGGAGGGGGAGAGGGGGGAGGGGGGGATTAGAGGAGGGGAGGGGGTAGGGGAAAACAAGGGGCGGGGGAAGGGAGGGGCAGGAGCGTTGACCAGTGGGCATCTATCGTCGTGATGGAACACGCGGGAGAGGCCACACATTCTACGCACTCCGCGTCTGTACCTTGAAGCACTCGCCGTTGGTGGTGGCGATGCGGTGAGCGGCCGACACTCCCGACATGCCAGCGCCCACAATCACCACCTGCCGCACGCTCGAGCACGCCGCGTCTGCCCCCACGGCCAGCCACGCCAGGACGAGGAGGAGAAGCGGTCCGGCGAGGAAGGAGTGGGGGGATGCGAACGACGATACCGGCGACACGACGCTGAAGCTGCGACGCTCGCGAACCCGTGGCGAGGACATTGCGACGGCGAGTCGACGTTACAAAGGAGCTGGAATCGTCTCTTCACGGGTGATACTGGTGTCGGTAATAGCACGAGGAGGCGGTTCGGGTGTGACAACGACGTTTCTGAAAGCAAGTCGTGATCAAACGGTCGCTTGAAGTTTAGTCCCTAGCTTGAGTGAAGGAAGGAGAACTATTCTGCGTGTGGAGTAGTGGTGCCCCTCCATTTTGTATGCTTGCCTGTCGCCGCGCGCAGCGGAAGTGGCAGCGTGCCTGTGTGGCCCAGTGGCATCGGGAATGCTGACGGCACCGGGATGTCGCAGAGGCCAATCGGGTTTTCTTCCGTTTTCGTCTGGCACCCGCACTTCGTGCTTGCCTTGAAAGCGCGGCATGAGCTGTACACTACACAGCATTGTACAGTGGTGCACCCGTTACAATCGTCCCTCACCTTGCGCGTCTCTAGGCCGTGTCGGTGGCGTGGTTGGTTGGAACCGCAGGCAAGGGAGCACTTTCGCCACGGCAGCGGAGGGGGGCTCCTGCGAATTGCGACGACGGACGAAATAGCCCGCGAATCCTTCTGACATACCGAACTCTGACAACCAGCCAAGTCGACATGGAATACACTTTCCAGCTGTTACGCAAAAGGAACCAAGCGAACTAGCTTTCCCTCCAATAAATCTAGAATATTCAGAAGGTGAGACGCGAAGCCCAAAAATAGGGTCTGGGTTTTTCCCTATCCAGTCTGGCTGACCACACCGACACAAATTCTATCGTGGCGGGTCCTCACTGCGCCAGCAGTGATACCAAACACAACCAACCACGCACCCCATCACTTGCCATCGCCGCCATGTCATCACGCCCTTCTTTTGTCAAGCGCACATCGAGTAACATCAATAGTATGTCACTGGTTACCACATCCTACCACGCGTTCCCCTCGGCATCCTCGTGATCAGTCTTTGGTGCAGCTCGGTCTGGCATAGTTAATTCGGGGTCTGTGCGATACAGTAGGGTCCAGTACGATAACTCTTCCAAGATCGCAATGCACTTCCATTACCTTGGGATTTTCTGGCTCCATCAACACCACCCTGGAACGGAGGTACGAACTAAGTTGTGACTACCTCTCCCTCCATTTTTCCTGGGCCTCACACAAGGGACCACTTTTAGGGCAGTACTACGTAGTCGCTTCCAGACATAACCCAGATTAGGGTTCGCCATGGCTGCCCTACAGTCTCTCGCGTTGACCCCTCTCACCTCGGCGCCTAACGCGTCGTTGGAAAAGTCTTCCAGGCACGTCCCTCAGCGGTCCTCCGATCTTAGCTAGTTTTTTTCTTGTTGGCTTTCCTGCTCCACCGTTCAGAGAGCCCAACAGTTGAGATAACCCTAGTCCTTGCCTGCTAAAGTTATATCGTCACCTTGCTGTCGCACAGCACGTCAGGCTGATATCGCATTGTTCCCCGCCTGTATTCTGCTTCGTTGTCGCAGCGACTTCTGGGGAAGCCGGGCGTCCTTGAGCCTTCCTGCCAGGAGAGATGCTGCCGTCTGCTCTAGGATGCCCAAGGTAAGCAATGCCTACATTCTCCGTTAGCCATCATTCCATGATTGGCAGGTTAACGTGTAGGCTTCGTCACGCGCTGTCTCTGCCACCTCACTCGCGGAGGAGAGACGTGTCTCACTTGGCTTGCCGAACCAACCTCCTTGAACGTGTTTATGACTCACCCGTTATGAAGACAACGCGCATTGCTCTTTTCTTCCTGTCTGATACATCCGTCATCTTTTCTCACCCCACCCATCGTGTGCCACCGTTCCTTCGGTAGGACCTCTCAGCACAAGGACCCGAATTCTCTCCCGTCTCCAGTCAAATCCTCCCAGCTCTGGCGTGGGGTCCTTGCGTCATATTCCACTCCTCGAATCACTTTGTATCCTGACATCTTGGCCTAAAGCTCCTCATTTTACGGATCTGCTTGAGCGTGCAGGTGGAGGTGGTGGTTTTTCGCAAGGAGGAGCAGACGGTGGAGAAGGCTTGCCTGTAGTTGTGCATTCAAGTCACACTTATGCCAAATTTATCCCCCATTGTGGCTTGCGATTTCTCGCAAGAAAAAGGAGCAGACGGTTGAGTGGACAAATCAGTTTTTTTTTCTTTGAAGCAGACGGAGCAGACCTTTTCTCTTTGTCCTCGTTGACCTGCTCATTGCAGGTGGAGATGGCCATCTCGCGCAAGAAGAAGGAGCAGACGGTGGAGAAGGCCCGGCAGCAGCTCGAGAACTGCAGCCTTGTCGCCAGCATCAACTACAAGCGATTCACGGTAACCAGATTCGCTATGATTTTCGCTGGAAGTTGTTATTGTTCTTGGATTGGAATACGAAGCTGCTCGAGAACTGTCGCCAGCGTCAACCACAGGCGATTCACGATGGGCAATTCCGCAAGGGCTTTCCGTTGGCTAAAGCGTTTCTCGAATCGATTAGCGCTAGCGACGGTACATGCGATTATCGCGGACCAATGGCGGCGCAAGCGGGAACAGTTGATGGGAGACCGAGGCATTGTTTCGCAGGTGTTCGGGGTTCAGGGCAAGCGTGTTGTTGCTGATTCAAGATTTGGCGGATACTACAATTAGGTCGGAAACTGTTTCGAAGCGGATGTTAGCGAGTTTTATCAGTCGAGGACGGCTCGATATGGTTTCCCTAGGTCGCGAAAGCAGCCGCGTGCATGCATGCGGGGAGAGAGGTGAAGGAAGCAGGGGGGAGGGAGGAGGGGGAGTCGATAAGGAGCGGATGGGGGAGCGGAAGGGAGAGCGGAGGGGGGAACGGAACGGGGAGCGGGGAGAGAAGCCGAGGGGGCCCGGAACCTAGGAATGAAATGTAGATGGCGGTAAGCGGAATGATAACGGAATCGATTACGATAGTGGCCGGGGGAGCTAACGGGGGGCGGGAGGGGAGCCGCTGGGGAGCCGAAGAGGAGCCGAGGGAGATCGGAGGGGGGCGGACGGGAAGCCGATGGAGGAAGATGCGGGGAAGCAGAGGGGAAAGCCGAGGGGAAGTCGTGGGGAAGTCGAGGGGAAGTCGTGGGGGAGTCGAGGGGAAGTCGAGGGGGAGTCGAGGGGAAGTCGAGGGGAAGCTGGGGGAAAGCCGGGGGGAGAAGAGTTGGAGCGGATAGTGAGCCGAGAGGTAGAAGCATAGAAGCAGGATTGCTAGGCGAATCGATAGCCGTTACAGGTCGCATAAGCGTGACTTGTCTCTGCGAGGCGACCTAGCAGGCGGTCATGGAAAGCGACACCCGCACGTTCTAGATGCCTGGCTCGGGCATTGGGCGATGCGGCGTTTTAGATGCCTGGGATAGGGTTTTGTCCTATCGAGTTCTACGCCAATTTCGCCCGTTCGCGACGCTCGAGCTATCCCAGTCTCCGTTAGTAGGGGCAAACCAGGTGTATTTTGAGTCGACTCAAAATAGTAGGGGCAAACCAGGTGTATTTTGAGTCGACTCAAAACAGTAGGGGCAAACCAGGTGTATTTTGAGTCTGACTCAAAATAGTAGGGGCAAACCACAGCAAGGTTTTTCCCCCATGTCTCCGTGAAACGAAACCAGATTTCTTTTCGTCCGCCTGCTCCCCCCTGCTGCTGCCCCCCATCAACAGGTGAAGCAGATGTCGGACCTTCGCAGGAAGCTTCCCGAGAGCGCGTCGCTAGTGGTGATGAAGAACTCGCTACTGGAGAAGGCGATGGAGGGCACGGAGTTCGCGGCGCTCAAGCCCGCCATGACGGGGATGAACGCCTTCCTCTTCGTGCACGCCGAGGAGATCCCCCCTGCGCTCAAGCCCTTCAGGTAGCACACCCACTCAAGCCCTGCAGGTAGTGAAGAGATCCCCCCTGCTCTCAAGCCCTTCAGGTACTTATTTAGCAGGGGGGGGGGGTCTCTCTTCAGGTATTCGAGAGAACCCCCCCTGCTCTCAAGCCTTCAGGTATTCGAGAGCCCCCCCCCCCCTTGCTCTAAAGCCTTCAAGTATTCGCGAGACCCCCACCCTGCTCTCAAGCCTTCAGTTATTCGAGAGACCACCCCCCTCCCCTCAAGCCCTTAAGGCATTCGAGGGGCCCGCCCAACTCCGCCCCTTTTTCGATTCATTCAGGGAGCCCACGCACTCCAACCCTTCAGGCTACCGGCCATCCGTACAGTCAGGCGATGCCGTCCCATACAATAATTCTAGCAAAAATGTAAAAGAAAAGAAAGACACATGCTCATTTGCTTGCAGAAGCAGCTGAAGCTGGATAGTAACGACTTCACGCTAACAAGAATTGCAGGAAGCCCCTCCTCTCCCCCTGTCTCCCACATATGGGGAGCTTTTTTTTAAGGCGCCTAAAAAGTGCGCTGTGATCACATACTCATTCGCATGCAGAAGCTGAAACTAGATGTTTATGACGTCACACCCCCCCCCCAAAAAAACCCCTTGCTGGAATTGCGGCCCTTCCCTCCTGTCTCCCAACCTCCCCTCCCCGCCGCAGGGACATGCAGAAGGAGCTGAAGCTGGGGCTTAACGACTTCATACTCAACGATCTCAGGCTTAACCCTCCCCTTCCCTGGTCTGCTTTCGCCCTCCCCTCCCACTCCACTGTGCCCCACCTCCTCCCTCATTCTCCCCTCCAACCCCAGGGACTTGTAGAAGGAGCTGAAGCTGTCTTCCCTTTCCTTACTTCCTCCACCTCACTGTTTCCCAATCCTACTTTTTCCCCCACTTTTCCACTCCCCCCCAATCCTTCCTTTCTGCTGTTTTCCAAACACCTCCTCCCCTCCCCCTCCCCCCTCCGGCCCCCCCTCCCCCCGCCAGGGAGATGCAGAAGGAGCTGAAGCTGGAGGACAACGACTTCACTGGCGCGGTGTTCGAGGGCAAGTTCTACGGCCCAAAGGACATGGCCGCGCTCGAGACGCTGCCTAGCCGGGCCGAGGTGTACTCCAAGCTGCTGGGCGTTATGCAGTCGCCCGCCAGAGACGTGGTTTCGACTCTTCAGGTACGCTAGAGTGTCTGTGTATCTGGGGCCTGCCTGTGCATGTGTCTGAGTGGGTGTGCGAGTGCTGTGTGTGAGTGAGGCGCTGCCTAGCCAGGCCAAGGTGTAGTCCAAGCTGCTGGTTGCCAGAGACGTGGTTCTCAACTCTCCAGGTGGATGCTGTTGTGTGTCTGTGTTTATATGCATGTGGGCGGTTTATGTTTGGTGGTGTATGCTGCCCCCCCTGCTCCTGACCTGGTATCTCGCCACTAGGCCCATTTGCCGACATTCAAGCAGTCTTGTCCCCTTCATTCGCATAGATGTTTAGATGTTGTCCTCCATTTCCTGCTTGTAACCTGATACTCGTTTTGAAACGTCTCAAAACTGGCCACAAGGCCTATGTGCAGACAAGCAACAAGTTATGATGCTTATCAGTATCACATCGTATTGAACCTTTTCCTCCACCTTCTCCCTCCCCCTAACCCCCCAACACCCCCCCCCCTCTCTCCCCCCCCCCCCCCACCCAATGCAGGCGCCTGCTCGTGACTTGATCCTGACCCTCAAGGCGCATGTGCAGAAGCTGGAGGAGGCTGAAGGCAGCCAATGAGAGTCGCCCTGTTCCAACCAGTCACAAGCCTTTGTGTAGCCAATACTTGGGAATACATCCCACCTGAAAGACTCTGCCATGGGCTAATGATGAAGGTGGCATGGCAGCCGTGGGCTACAGTGCTAATAGAGAACCTGGTAAAAAATATGAGATTGAAGTGTATCAATATCTGGATGCAATAACTGGTGTCTACGTTTCATGCACCCAACTACGATGAAACGGAGTACTGCTGTACTGGTGTTGATGTTTTCTATTTTCTAGCGTTCGTTTTGAGCTTGGTGGTCGTCAGAGTTCGTTAGACGAATTTCGCCTGTCGTCGCAATTCGCAAGACCCACACTTCCCCATTCCAATCCCTCCCGTGGCGAAATGCTTTTCTGCTTGCTCCAGCGCAGCACGATTGCACCACCGACCCGGTCTGTCTGCTGGTCGGGGGAGTGCTGGGTGGAGGAGACGCGCATTACGTGCTCGATGAGTGGCTGGCGATTGTAACGGGTACTCACTGTACAGTACCACGCAGACAGGATGAGCCGAGCGGGGAGTGTGGCCAGGCCGCCCATGAATTTTCCAAAATCTGATTGAGGGTGTGGGCGCCTGGAGAAATCCATAGAAGATCATAACTGAGCCATCCGAACATGCCTCAGGCCATCGACATTCCCCATGGTTGGTCCTTCATCCCGCGGCGCCACGCCACACAGCCACACAGCCGCTTTCGGCTGCTTGCGGTGCGGAGACAGGGATGGTGACTTTTGAGTCGACTCAAAAGCCACCTCGATGGTCACGAAATGGAGATAGAGGTCCACTTCGCTCTCGCTTCTTCGCTCGAGCTAAGAACACCACTTCACAAGGCGACTGATACAGCGTAGTACTAGGCTTTCCAAAAACCGTATCAGCGACGTGACGTCGTCGTCGTCGTGCTAGCCCTGGACGCCTTCCTCTATTGCGTGCATTGTTACTAGCCCACTGTCGGCCATTGTCGCTCAATTCCGCCGTTACCTAGTAAGCAGGTCGTCCGTTTCCACGTCGTCGGACCATCGTCGCAATGCCGCCGCCGCGGGTTCGCGACGCACCGTCGCAGTTCGCAGGCTCGGCGCCTGCTACTACCAGTACTACTAGCCCTGGCGCCTGTCGTGCCTTCCGCCAGAGCAAGCAGGGTTTCTCCTCCTCGTCATCCTCCTCCGCCTCTTCCTCCTTCCTCGCCGCGCCGCTTCTCCTCCTCGTCCTGGCGTGGCTGGCCGTGGGGGCAGACGCGGCGTGCTCGAGCGTGCGGCAGGTGGTGATTGTGGGCGCTGGTATGTCGGGCGTGTCGGCCGCTCACCGCATCGCCACCACCAACGGCGAATGCTTCAAGGTACAGACGCTGAAAGCATCAGCGTACAGGCACTGCGCGTTCTGAAGCAGTTTTTTGCTTCTGTTTTTGTTTTTTGGTCACTGGAGATTTTTTTCTTTTTTTTTCTTGTGTGGTTGTTGTCGATTTTTTTCGTAGTTTTGGTGTTTCCAGCTTGAGGTAGGTTTCTCCGGGGCATTTTCAGTTTTTTTCGTCGTCTTCGGCTCGTCCGTTTCCGTCCCAGCCTGACCCTTCCCCAAACTACGGGAATGATGAGACCCCCCCACTCCGCCAACCCCCCACCCGCTCCCCCTTCTTCACCAGGTGGCGGTGGTGGAGGCGCGCTGCAGGGCGGGCGAGCGCATGCGAAGCCGAACCCCCCCACTCCACTCCCCCCAACACTATTCCCCCCCCCCCCCCCCCCACCCCCCCTCGCCCCCTCCCCAAGGTGACAGTGGTGGAAGCGCGCAGCGGAGTGGGCGGGAGCATGCAAGGCAGATGACCATACCATGTCCTACCCCCCCCCCCCCCCCCCCCCCCCCTTTTTTTTTTCCCCTGCCAGGTGACAGTGGCGGTGCGATGTTTGTAACCACCTCCAACTCCCCCTTCCCCCCCCGCCCCCCCCCCCCCCCCCCCCTTCCCCTCCACCAGGTGACGGTGCTGGAGGCGCGCAACAGAGTGGGCGGGCGCATGTGGAGCCGAACGGAGGCCGCCCCTGCTGGCTCTCCCACAACGTTTTTCAGAGGGGAGCTGGGCGCGCAGTGGATCGAGGGCGCTACAGGTAACCCGGTTTCCACTCACATTTTACCTGGTTACCAATGTACCTTCCCTGGTTTTCAGCATTGTTAGCGCCCCCTGTCGACTCTCCCACGGCTTCCCTGAGAGGCGAGATGGGCACGCAGTGGATCGAGGGCGTCACAGGTAACCTGGTAAATTGGTATCCAGGGCAACCTATTGACCTGGATACCAATTTACCTGCCCTGGTTGTCTCCACTTTAGTGCCCCTGCCAACTCTTCCATGGCCCCCGGAGAGGCGACATGGGCGCGCAGTGGATCGAAGACGCCACAGGTAACCCAGTTACCACTCTTAATTGACCTGGATACCAATGCATCTGCCCTGGTTTTCAGCTTTGTTTTTGCACCCTGCCGAATCTCCTACAACATTCCTGAGTGAAAGGCGAGATGGGCCCGCAGTGGATTGAGGGTGCAACAGGACCCTCAGTCGACCTGGTGGTTACCAATCCCACTGACCAGGTTACCATTACTAATGGTGCCCCTGCCGGTTCCGTCCCACCACTCCTGAGAGAGGGAACCATGACTAGCGGAAGGGCGCTCAGTGGCTTAAAAGACGCGACAGGTAACCTGGTGTGCAGTCACTCTCGAATGACCTGGTTACCAATCTCGCCAACCAGGTTACCAGGTTACTAGATGATGGGCTTGAAGGCGGCACAGGTAACTAACCTGGTGTGCTGCCACTCACTGACCAAGTTACTGTTTCCACGGCTGGCTCTAGTCACCAGTGTTGCCAAACATGGTTACTGTGCTGACGGTCCATCTGCCTGTGTCCAGCTTTATTATGTTTGGCAAACCCTGAGCGTTTCATGTTGGGCACGCAGTAGTTTCATGTTGGGCACGCAGTAGTTTCATGTTGGGCACGCAGTAGTTTCATGTTTTCTGTACCACTCCACCAACCCTGAGCATTTCTTCGTCCCTTCCCCTTCCCTGCGTCTCGTGTGTCTGAGCCTCCCTTATTCCTTTCCCATTCCCTATGCTTACTTGCTTGCCCTTCCCTTTCCACACGTCGCAGGTAACCCGGTTACTGCCCTAGCCCGGCGCTTCAAGCTCAAAATTGGGCAGCAGAACGGGCGGGAAATACAGTACACGGCGAATGGGATTCCTTACGGGGAGAAAGGGTGGGCGGCATCGGAGCGGCAGTATCAGACGCTGGTACGGCAAGGCTTGGCGTGGGCCAACAAGCAGGACAAGGACGTGACGCTGCAGCAGGCGTTCACCAGCACCCCCTGGAGGCGACAACTGTTTATGAAGCCTTACGTGCAGGTAGGGGGAGTGAGACTGTTAGAGTGAGAAAGAGTGAGAGTGAGAGTGCGAGTGAGAGGGGGTTCGACTTTGACACCACACCACCCTCGCGCACCTCTCTGCGTGGTACTTTGATTGAGTCTCTCCCCTTCTGCCTGCCAACTGCACACCCTCTGTCTCCCCCAAACCCCTGCAATCCCTTCCATCCACCCGCATCCCTTCCATCCACACGTATCCCTTCCCATGTTCCGTCCCGCCTGGCAGTGGACTAGGAGCTCAACTTTGGCACGGCCCCTTCCCACCTCTGAAGCTATTTTTTCGCCTATCCTTGAACCCTAATCCCCACGCCTGGACCCCAATCAGTCCCGCCTGGACCCCAATCAGTCCCGCCTGGACCCCAATCAGTCCCGCCTGGACCCCAATCAGTCCCGCCTGGACCCCAATCAGTCCCGCCTGGACCCCAATCAGTCCCGCCTGGACCCCAATCAGTCCCGCCTGGCGGTGGACTACGTGTTCAACTTTGGCAGCGTGGGAGGAGCACGATTTGTCCTACAACATCAGTCCCACCCACCTATTCACCCGGTGTTTTCTCCTCTGCATTTTCTCTCCCCCTGCAGTCCCGCCTGGCGGTGGACTATGAGTTCAACTACGGCACGGCCCTCTCGCACCTCTCTGCGTGGTACTATGACTCGCTCGCCTTTGAAGATCCCACGATGGTGGTTACCAACGGCTACGACAACATACCCAAGGGGCTCATGCAGGTGAGGTGGTGAGGGGGACAGGCGCGAGGAGGGAAAGGGGGGGGAGGTGAGGGGTTGAGTGAGGCTCGCCGATCACGATGGTGGTTACCAACGGTTACGACAATATATCCAAGAAGCTCATGCAGGTGAGGTGGGGAATGGGGCAGGAAGGGGGAGAGATGGCTTGTGTGAAGCTTTGTTTAACCACATGCACAGCAACAACCCGCCCACCATGGTGGTTACCAACGGCTACGACAACATACCCAAAAGGCTTATGCAGGTGAGGTGGTGAGGGGGTCAGGGAGGAGAGATGGCTCCTTGAAGCTCAGTGAGGGGCTTATGTGGTGTGAAGCTCTCTTTAACCACACACACTGCGCCCTCCGTGGCGGTTAACAACGGCTGCAACAACACACCCAAAAAGCTCATCCAGGCGAGGAACGAATGGCTTGTGCTGGGGGTAGGTTGTGAGTGCAGCCGTAAGACCAGTCTGCTGGTCACGAACGGCTATGAAAGAATATAGAAGCAGCCCATGCATGCAGTTGAAGGAAGGGAGAGGGGTGGCTAGTTTGGAGCTTCCTCCAACGACAACACAGCTGAAACACTCAAACATGTGTCGAGGTTGGTGTGTGGCGTCTCTGTCCTCCTGCCCACTCCCACTACTGCCCACCCACACCACAGGAAGCAGTGTATGTTGAGGAATTTGGCCTCTCTGCCCTACTTCCACTTTCAATCTCACTCCCTCCCCCTCCCACACACTTATTTTACAGAGTTTAGGGTTTACAAGCAGCAGGTGCGAAGCCCACTCTCAAATTTAGAGTGACCGCCACTTCTCAGACCTCAGGGACAGCCCCACAAGTCAGGATCACAGGCACGGACACTCTCTTCACTCCCTCCCTGAATCTCACTCTCGCTCCCCTCCCCCCACCTACACCCCAGGAAGTGCCAGCAGCAGGTGCGAAGTTCACTCTTCACTTCGAGGTGACCGGAATTTCTTAGTCCTCCGGCGCAGCACCCACGGTCAAGGTCACTCACAGGCATGGACATTCCCCTCACTCTCACTCCCCCCCTCCCTCCCACCCACATGCACCGCAGGAAGCACAAGCAGCAGGAGCCAAGCTCACTCTCAACTTTGAGGTGACCGGCATTTCTCAGATGTCCGGCGCAGCACCCAAGGTCAAGATTTCTCACAGGCAAGGGCCTTTTTTCCTCACTCTCACTCCCCCCCTCCCTCCCACTCACCTACACCACAGGAAGCACAAGCAGCAGGCGCCAAGCTGATTCTCAACTTTGAAGTGACCGGCATCTCCCAGACCTCAGGTGCAGCACCCAAAGTCACGATCACCGGCAAGAACACCGCCAATGGCGCCACCACCACCCTCACAGCCGACGTCGTTATAGTCACCATCCCCCTCGGCGTGCTTAAAGCCAACACCATCGCTTTCCAGCCGGCCCTTTCTGCCCGGAAAACGGGCGCCATGGCCCGCCTCGGCGTGGGCTCGATCAACAAAATCTTTTTTTTCTTCAACGAGACCTTCTGGCCAGTCAACGTGGACGAATATTTCATCGAGGACGGGCAGCTGCCCGGGAATCGCGGGCGGTGGGTGGATTGGGTGAACCTGAAGCGGGCGTGGGGGCAGACGGCGCTGGAGGGGGTGGCACTGGGGGAGTATGCGGAGCGAATGGCCCAGATGACTGATGCAGCCGTGATCGCAGACGCCCAGGCGAAGATGCAGCGCATGTTTTCCCAGTATAGGAAGAAGCCGGTGCAGGCGATAGCCACATGGGTGCAGCGGTGGAGCGACGACCCGTATGCGCGCGGCGCGTATAGTTATGCGAAGATTGGCGTGCAGGGGAACGGGGACCACTGCACGGATTATGATCGCATGGGGCTGCCTGAGGGCCGGGTGCTGTTTGCTGGGGAGCACACCATCTGGCAGTACCAGGCCACCGTGCACGGGGCGTATTTATCGGGTGTGCGAGAGGCAAAGAGGGTCCTGAAGAACTTCTGAGGGAGATGTCCAGAGGGCTACCGGATGTCAGGTGGTGTGCCAGAAGGACTGCATGTGGCAGTAAGGACGCAGTGCTTTTAGGTGAGGTTCGACACCTGAACGAGCATGAATACCACGCTGTGGTGCGTGGAACCATTCTGACTGCGTCTACACAACCTTCCACCCATCTTTAATTCTGAACCTGAGGTTTTAAATTCTTGCTTTCTTTCTTTCTCCCAAAAGCTCCGCGTCCTAAGATGCCACCGTGCATGGGGCATGGGGGATGGCAGATTGTACTTGTTACGTGAGAAAGGATGTGGGAGGTAGAGAGTGAGGGCGTATTCCTACGAAGTTGCATCAGCACTGTAATGGCTTTTGCTGATGCTGATGGTACTTCAAACGCGCACCCTGCAGATGAGAAACAAGTGAATGTTGGTCGCGCATGCGAAATGCGAGCCGTCGATGGTCTTTTTCATCCACACGGAGGCCATCTAACACAAGGCACTGATTCTCGAGAGGGTGACTATCGAGTGGAGTAATCGGAACAAAATGCGCGAAAAAAATCTCGCGTCGACCCTTTGCTGGTGGGTGGCGTTGTATTTCCTGAAGTGGCACCAGCATCAACAAAAATTCATGTTAGTGCTGATGCTACTTCGTAGGAATACGCCCTAAGTTGCTGGAGAGGACACTGTCTACCAACATCAGGAAGCTGTGGATATTGTTGAGGGAGTGATGAGTGTGTGACAGTAATGGATGTTGTGACTGCATGTTGTGAATATGTCGTTCACGTTCGTTTGGGATGACACGAACCAACTCCCGCATGTGTGGGCGGAAACAAAACTCTGTCAGGGGAAATCAATAGGCTACCCAGAGGAGATCAGAAAAAAGGACGATTTTATGCCATTCGAGCTTAACTTGTTGAATAAATGCTAGTACACAAACCATATGTACATCTAGACTGTTGCATAGCCTACTCACTCCTCATCGTTAATGAACTTCCCAGTACCCGGGTTGATCGCAGCGACGAAGAAGAACGCGATGCTCGCGAGCAGCAGCGGCTCGAGCTCCCAAACGGGAACGCCAATTTCAACATTCAATTGCGCCAGAGCCCCCTTCCCCGTGATCACCTCGCCAATCAAACTCGCCGCAAACCCTAATTGCGCCAACCGCCCGACAAACAACTCGTTCGCCTTGGTAAATCCGAACAGAGGCCCGTCCTCGCTGAGCCCGAGCGCTGCCTTGATACTGCCGGGCTTCACGGGCGGCCCGACCGGCTCGTCGTCCACGAATCGTCCGCGGTCGCCCAGCCCACCGATCGCGCCGAGCACGGTGAATGCGATGAAGAAGAGCAGCAGCGGCTCCGTCTCCGTTATAGGGATCCCCGTTTCGATGTTGAGCTGCGAGAGGATTCCCGCTCCCGTGATCGCCTCGCCAAGGAGGGAAGCCGCGAAGCCGAGCATGGCGACGCGCCCCACGAAGAGCTCGTTGGCTTTCGTGAATCCGAATCCGCCGGAGGTGCCGAAGATGCCGTCCTCTGTGCGGGGCTTCGTAGCGGGGACGCTCTTAGCGGGGACGGCGGCTTTACGGGAGCTGAAGAGGGCGGAGACGCCAAGTCCGCGCGGAATGGTTGGCGCTACGGCGGTGAGGCTGGGCGTGGCGATACGAGCGCCTCTGATGGCGGTTCTGAAGGAGAGGGCGGAGAGCGCCTGACGAGCTGCGAGGGCGGAAGCCATGACGTTTGCTAGAATGATCAGAGAGAGCACAAGATCAAGGGTTACAGAAGTGCCTGTAGGAAGAAATGAGTAAGTGCCTGACTGCGATTACAGATTATTGAGTCACCGATTGCTGAATTTGTAGATGCAGTGATGAAATGCGAATCGAGGCGCGCCAAGCTGTTCTCGTCCCTGAGTTGCTGGGGGGGCATCTCCCCTCCCCTACATCAAATTCAGCGCAGCGCACTACACCTCGTTCAACTTTTTGGGAACCAGCTCAAAGAGTCTTACACGTGGCTGGTTCTGATGCGCGAGTTTCGAAGAGAGACGTGGACAGCTCTGGTGCGCAAGATCTGGCAGGGGAGTGGCTGGGTGAATGGTTTGACTGGCGACGTGGCTGAGCCGACATAGCTGGGTGCTGCTGACATGGATGCAAAAGCAAAGTCAGCTTGCGTGGTCAGCGTGGCAAGCACCCTCCACTGAACGAGTCAGGCCGGGCAGCCCGCAAGGTGTGCTGAGGACTCTCTCAAACCTCTCTCTTTCAACTCAGCGATACGTGCTCTGGGTTACAGAACAACTAAAAATGCAATATTCGAGATTGGTTAATTACATCCTCAACGTGTATAAGTGGCATCCCTTCCCTTCCATTAAGGGTCTGGCATCTTTACTAGTGTGGAAGTCGGACTTGAAGGCTCGAATGTTTCTAGTGTATATTTATGGTATGTTTCAAGCCGAGTGCAGAGCGAACTCCCTCAAAATATAGTTGGTACTAAGCGCTGTGCTGAATTCTCATGGTGGAGGCGTATACTCAATTAGGTGCTATTGACCCCCAACCACTAAACACCCCATGGGCCATGCCCAAGTTACACTTGTTTCCTCTTCCGAGCTCCCTTTTTCCTCCCTTTATCTTCAACCTCGTCGTCACCACTGGGAAGCAAAACCTCCACCTTGCTCCTTCCCTTCCCCTTACTCTTGCCCTTCCTTCTTCCCTTCTCCTTCCACCCCTCCTCCTCTCCACTCTCCGCCATGTCAGCCCACTCCACACCATCCCCATCCCCCACCCCCTCTCCTGCGCCCTCCGTTGCTCTCTCACCACCACCCACCACCCTCGATCCATCACTATCATCCGAATGAAGCCAATCACCTCTTTCCTCCGCTCTCTCGTTTCCTTTCCGTTTCGACGCTGCTCTTGCCGCCCCTTTCTTTGCCTGACTCAACGGCAGCAGCTCCTGTGCATCCTTCCCTGCCGCCATCTTTCCCTTTCTCCGCTTCCTCCCCTCACCACCATCCTTCTCTTCCAACCTTCTCCCCACCTCTTCCACCACCTCCCCTTCCTCCACCACTGAATCCATATCAGCCCTCCCTTCCTTCTCTTTCCCTCCCTTCTCTCTCCATTTCGCCGCCTCCTCTTCCTCATACTTCTTCCTCCAATACTCCCACCTCTCCTCCATCTTATGATTCGCCTTCCTCCTCTCCTTCCTCTCTTTCCTCCCACACTTCTTCACCTCCTCCTTTGCCTGCTTCTCCTTCCTGTCAACCTTCTTGTACTCCAGAATCCACTTCCACCCCTCCACAGCTGCATTCCACTCCGCAACCTTCTTAGTCGAAGCCGGCTCGCCCACAAAATCAATCCCCGCTGCTGCTCCCCCCAGCCGCATCGTACACTGATATATATTCTCCTGCTTAGTACCCACCTGCTCTATAAAATACCGCGGCCGGCCCAAGAAGTGGATCTTGCAGTTGTTGTGAACGTACGATTTCACATCCTTCCCGGCCTCCAGTTTCATGTCCACTGCTTTCGCCTTTACGGGTTTCTCGGGCTTTGGAGGGGCGAGCTTTGGTACAAGGCCAACAGTGAAGGTGCCGCGTGGCTGCTCGCACTGCAGCAGGTCCGTGACGGCTCCTAGAACGGCCTCGTCTTCTGGTGTTAAAGGAAGGCGAGGGCTCTCCAGCTGCAAAAAAGCGCGGGAATGGTGAAAAAGTGCGGGAGAGACGAGACGTAGAGAAAGTAGCAAGGGGTTTTTGAGAATTCTCAAAAGTCTCTCGCTTGGTACAATGCCTACAGTGAAGGTGGTGCGGGGCTGCTCGCACTGCCGAGGGTCAGTGAGAGCCCCCAGAATGACCTTGTCTTCCGGTGACAAGGGGAAGTGCGGGTTCTCCAGCCGCATTGTACTGTTGACATAAAGGGGAGGCGGGGAGCAAAACGAAGAGGGAACTTTGGCACGAGGCCAACAGGGAAGGCGGCGTGTGGCTGCTCGCACTGCAGACAGTCAGGGACAGCAGCCAAAATGGCTTCATGTTCCGGCGTTAAGGGGAGGCGCGGGCTCTCCAGCTGCAACGAAACAGCCAGAAGGAGGGGGCAGAAGTGGAGGGAAAATAGCCTTGAAGGATTTGTTCCCACAAGGCCAACGGTGAAGGTGCCGTGTGGCTGCTCGCACTGCAGGAGATCCGTGACACCAGCCACCTACCTTGCGTTGAAATAGTGCGTCTAACTAAGATCTTAGCCCCAACACGGGCGGCATGAAGAACCCGAAGTAGCCGTCCAACAAGAGCATGAACCGCTGCCAGCACGTGCTGGACCGACCTTCTATAGCCCAGTCCTTCCTCACCTTGCGCTGTATGATGAACCCTGCTCGGATTGCAGGCCCAGCAGAGGGCAGCAGCAGCAGGCGGCATGGAGAGCTCGAAGTAGAATACAGAAGCCCCAGGATGCAGACCAACAAGCGCAGATAGCCCCGGTTGTGAGGGGTTGCAGCAACCCCCACCCATGACACCGCAACAATCACATACCTTGCGCTCTATCAGTGAGCTTTGAATTGACTCAAAATCACTCCCCCACCCAGGACACTGCAGCCGTCACATGTATCACGTACCTTGCGCTCTATCAGTGAGCTTTCGAGTCGAATCCAAAGCACCACCACCCAGGACACTGCAGCAGCAGTAACGTGTACTGCGTACCTTGCGTTGTATGAGTGAGTCGAGCTCGGATCGTAGCCCCAGCACAGAGTGGGCGGTGGCGGGCGGCATGAAGAACTCAAAGTAGCCATCCCACATGTGCAAGTTGCCCGGGTCGACTCTAAAGCATCCCTCCCTCACCTTGCGCTGTATAAGCGAGTCGAGCTCGGATCGTAGCCCCAAAACCGAACGGGCGGCGGCGGGCGGCATGAAGAACTCAAAGTAGCCGTCCATCATGTGGAGGTAGCCGGGGTCGGTGGTGGGGGTGAGAGGCCCGCCAAAGAGCAGCAGAGCCGCGTCGGATACTCCCGTGGAATCCCGGATGAACACAGAGGTGGTCTTGATCTGCCAAGGGTTGGGTGGGGGGTTCAGGGTAAAGGGCTTGCAGGTTAATCTCCTCAAGTGTGGAGTGAGAGGACAGCCAAAGAGCAGCAGAGCCGCATCGGATACACCAGTGGAGTCTCGAATGAACACAGAGGTGGTCTTGATCTGTGGCAGGTTGGGATGGGGGGTTCAGGGTTTCGAATGAGGGGGCTAGGTTGGGGGGTCAGGTCGCCCAAGTGAAAGTATGGGGTTCAAGGGTGAAAACTTCAGGGGTACAGGCAGAAAACCCATGGTCCAGTCGTTGAGGGGCACAGCATAAGTCACACATGAAAACAAGCCATGTGGCGCATGAGGGGCAATCCAACAGGCAGTTCTGGTTCTTGGTTTCCCTAAGCCCCTCATTCTGGTTCTTGGTTTCCCTAAGCCTCTCATTCTGATTCTTACATGCATGCCATCATGCGAAGAACAACCGCCCCTTGATGGGATTGACGCTACCATCCATCCCGTCATGCCCCCATAGCATGGTATCATGATGCCCACATAACACCTGCTGGCTTCACATCACACCCCATGGCATGGGATAACACCCCATGGCACCCTAGCACACCCCATGGCACCCCATTACACCCCATGGCACCCCATCACACCGCATGGCACCCCATCACACCCCATCACACGCCATCCCACAGTACCTTCTCGTTGAAAACCAGCCACGGGTAGGGGAAGCGAGTGAGACCAGCATTGACAGACGACTGCAGTAGAGAACAGAGGGAGAGACGAAGCGGGGGAGAAGGGGAGGGAACGGGCAGGACAAGCATTTGGGGGAACTTGAAATAAGGAAAGAGGCTGGCACCGAACAGCTCACATTCAAGCATGCATCCTCCTCTCCTCAGCCATGCATGTTGCGCTTACATTACCACACCCCCTCCCCCACCTCCTCCCACTTTACCCAACTCTTCCCCCCACCAGCGCCCCTTCCCCATGGATTTGAGAACTGAGCATACATATTTGACACTTCTCAGAACGCACCTGATGAATGTTCACTTCTCCATCTTCCTCCGTCTTGTATGCAGTGCTCCGCGCTCGCTTCTGCATACGAGCACCAGTATTGGGGTTGCATGTGCATGTGCATGTGAGGGGGTCATGGATGAAAGCATAGGGGGGAGCATGTAAGGGAGATATGAAGGCACGTTGGGGGATGAGGTATGGGGGCGTATGCTCACTTCTCCATCCTTCTCCATCTTATACGCTGTGCTTCGTGCGCATAGGGGGTGCATGTGCATGCGGCGTGCATGTGCATGGGGGGTTGTATGTGCAGTGGGGGGTTGCATGTGCATGGGGGGTTGCATGTGCCCGCTCCTTCGGAATGCAGAGTGACCAGCGGATGAACACACAGACATACATACTCTAGACCCGCACTCTCAAACTCACCACTGCAGACGCCACACTGGGAAACAGCCCCGCCAGCAGCAGAGCTTACAAGCACAGGCAACCACACACATGCACACACACACACATGCACACACACACACACATGCACAGACACACATGCACACACACACACATAAGCACACACACACACACATGCACACAAACACACAGCATACCAACACACGCTTACCACAGCAGACGCCACCCCTGGAACCAGCCCTGCCAGCAGCGCAGCCCGAACCAAACTCAGGGTCATTGCTGCACCTGTTGGCCTCGCCCATGCCCCTCTACCAACCACATGAGCCATCATACATATCCACCACACACACACGCAGACACAATTAACCATCATACAAATCCACCACACACACACGCAGACACAATTAACCATCATACATATCCGCACATACTGAAACCAATACACGCACCACTGCAGACGCCACCCCCGGAAACAGCCCGGCCAGCAGCGCGGCTCGAACGAGCTCGGGTTCGTTGCTCCGCATGTTGGCCTCGCCCATGCCCTCGAGCACATTGACCAATCCCAGCTCGCCAAGTGTCCCCAGCAGCTGCCGCCTCAGCCCTGCTATTGCCTGGTGGTTTGACACGGCAGGTTTGGAAAACTTGAATATATTCGCCAAGTCAATCGGGGGATATCCTATGTGGCAACGTTTGAGTTTTGCATGCACCAGAAAATTGAAGGGACAGAACAATTCAAAGGCCAACAAGCACGGCAGGATGTATTAGTCAAAGGCACAGAATGCACTTTGGAGAGAAGAAGTACTAGCAGCAGGCATAAGATGAGATAGTAGCGGCAAAACAAGGTTTGAAGGGCGTGCCTGCATGGTGGGGTGCGATAAGAAGTGGTCGTAGCAGTACGCGCGTGCGGCATTGTATCCGTCGTGCAGGCTGTTCCCTGACCCCAGGGCCGCAACCCAGCCCTCCAACGCCCTCTACTTTCTAAGGCACTAAGCATAAATTCATACCTGCATGGTGGGGTGCGATAAGAAGTGGTCGTAGCAGTACGCGCGTGCGGCATTGTATCCGTCGTGCGGGCTGTTCCCTGACCCCAGGGCCGCAACCCAGCCCTCAAACGCCCTCTACTTTCTAAGGCACTAAGCATAAATTCATACCTGCATGGTGGGGTGCGATAAGAAGTGGTCGTAGCAGTACGCGCGTGCGGCATTGTATCCGTCGCGTGGGCTGTCCCCTGACCCCAGGGCCGCCACCCACCCCTCGAACGCCCTCACTGCTGCGAAATGGTCGCTGCAGTCGTCCCCTGCAAAGCGAAGGCGCACCGAATCGGCCACCTGACAGGAGGGATAAGCGGGAGAGGGGAGGGGCGGGGGGGGCGGGGGGTTTTGGGGTATTTGTTGGGGGAGATGGAGAAGGGGAAGGAAAGGGATGGATGACCCCAGAGCAGCCATCTAACCCTCAAACGTCCTCACTGCCGCAAAATGGTCGCTGCAGTCGTCCCCTGCGAAACCAAGGCGTGCCGAATCAGCCACCTGGTGAGAGGGATCAAGAGAGGAACTGGCATTAAGGAAGGAAAGGGTGCGTAGAATCTTTGACTAAGAGAGTAGCAGCCACTGTGAGCAGAGGATTCGTGCACGACAGACAGCAGCGCTGCCATCACCCCCTCACATCCCCCTCACATCCCCCTCACATCTCACATCCCCCTCACATCCCCCTCATATCCCGTCGCATCTCTCTCTTGTCAGCCGGTCGAACCCACGGCTCTTGTTCACTGAGGGCAGCTGCTACAGTGAGCAGAGGGTTGACGCATGACAGCAGGACAGGCATCACCCCCATATTTAGCCCTCATTCCCCTCATGCCCCTCATCATGCCCATCATGCCCCTCATGCCCCTCATGCCCCTCGTGCCCCTCTTTACTCCCCCTCGCTGCTCACCTCTCTCTTATCCGCTGGTCGCACCCAGGGCTCTCGTTCACTAAGGGTAGCGGCCACAGTGAGGAGAGGGTTGACGCACGACAGCAGCGCTGCCATCACCAGCATCTTACCCACTCGGGGCTCAAGGGGTAGCGCTGTGAGGTGGCGGCCTGACAGAGGGGTGAGGAAAGAGATGAGAGCGCGAGGAGATGGGGAGAGACAGCAAAAGGCACACAATGAGCAGAAGTTGGGAGGAATGGCGAGTGACAGAATGCAATGTTAGTAGTGGAAAGAAAGTGCGCACAGTTGAACTAGTTGTCACTCTTGGTTGTGGAAGCGAGGAGAGCATACCCGGTGGTGATGCATGCATGCCAACAAGTGCAGTATGCATGGATGTGCCAAACGGGTGTGCGTGATACCACGAGCAGCGTACCAAGTGGTGTGAGGTTCTCGTCCTTGTCCAGCGCCCCCACGTCCTCCAACAGCTCTATCGCATTGTCCACCTGCACACATAGATCAGGAGGACATCCGTGCATACAGAACACACATACATGCAATACATACAGAACACACATACATGCAATACATGCAGAACACACATACATGCAATACATGCAGAACACACATACATGCAATACATACAGAACACACATACATGCAATACATACAGAACACACATACATGCAATACATACAGAACACATATACATGCAATACATACAGAACACACATACATGCAATACATACAGAACACACATACATGCAATACATACAGAACACACATACATGCAATACATACAGAACACACATACATGCAATACATACAGAACACACATACATACATGCAATACATGCAGAACACACATACATGCAATACATACATACATACACACATACATGCAGATAGACATGTAAGTGAGGTTCTCGTCCTTGTCCAGCGCCCCCACGTCCTCCAACAGCTCTATCGCATTGTCCACCTGCACGCACACATGCGGGAGCATCTGAAATGCATTGTCAGAGTGCCAAACAAAAATAAAACAGCCTGTTACTCACAGCTAGCACCGGCCAAACACACCCCTGGCCGCACCATCTTCGCCCTCTTTCGCATCTTTTGGTATGGGCCAACTCATAAGTCAACAGAACAGGAATTTCAGCAGCCTGTCACTCACTGCAAGAGGTTCAGGAGGTTGCATGGCCTTTCCAAGGAACTCTCCAATATTGCCCAGCCCAAGCGTCTTGATCTGGAGGCACAGCGAGTGCTGCGACGGGTAGTATACAGTATAACCCAGGGACCCCTGACTTACAGCAAGAGGTTCAGGCGGTTGCATGGCCTTTCCAAGAAACTCCCCAATATTGCCCAGCCCGAGTGTCTTGATCCACAAGCACAGCGAGTGCAGCGGCACCCGCAGCAGCTCCGGCTGGCCGTAGTCCGGCAGCGCGGCGAACAGCGGCTGTGGGTACAGGTGGAAACACACGCCTGGCGGCACCTGCCCCGCCCTCTCTTGCACCTTTTTGGGTCGACCCATCAGTAAACAAAGCTGGGATTTCACGAGTGGCACAGTACTAGTACTCACAGACCGCTAGTGGCTCCGGGGGTTGGATGGCCTTCCCCAGGACCTCTCCAATATTGCCCAGCCCAAGCGTCTTGATCTGCAGGCACAGCGAGTGCAGCGGCGGGTAGTATACTGTATAACCCAGGGACCCCCAACTCACTGCAAGAGGTTCAGGAGGTTGCATGGCCTTTCCAAGAAACTCCCCAATATTGCCCAGCCCGAGCGTCTTGATCTGCAAGCACAGCGAGTGCAGCGGCGCTCGCAGTAGCTCTGGCTGGCCGTAGTCTGGCAGCGCGGCGAACAGCGGCCGCGGGTAGAGATGGAAACACACGCCTGGCCGCACCCGCCCCGCCCTGCCCCTCCTCTGCTTCACCGAGGCCTTGGAGACCCACTGGGGCAGGAGGCAGGGTACGTTGTTGACTGCGTCGTAGGAAGTTTCCTTGGCCTTTCCGGTGTCGATGACCAGTGCGACGTCGTTGATGGTGATGGAGGTCTCGGCCATGTTGGTCGCGAGGATCACTTTGGTGATGCCTTCGGGGGGAGGGTTGAAGATGAGCTTCTGCTTGGGGTGAGAGGAGTGGGGGAAGACGTGAGAACCAGTCAGATGGTGGTGGAGGGTTCAGGCATGTTGGTCGCGAGGATCACTTTGGTGTTGCCTTCTGGAGGGGGGCTGAAGATGAGCTTCTGCATGGGGTGAGAGGAGTTTGGATGGATATAAAAACTACTACTTTGGTGATGGAGGTCTCGGCCATGTTGGTGGCCAGGATGACCTTTGGTGATGGAGGTCTCGGGTGGCGGGTTGAAGATGGGCTTCTGCTTGGTGTGGGGGAGTTGGGGGAAAGATGCAAAAATGGTTGATGGTGATGTGGTTGATGGTGATGGAGGTTTCCACCGTGTTGGCGGCCAGGATTACTTTGGTGACTTCCTCTGGTGGGGAGTTGAATATCAGCTTCTGCTTGGAGGGACGGAAGGAGTTAAGTGGGAAGTGGGGCGTGGGGAAGGAGTACGGGTTGGGACTAGCACGGCGTTGTTGATGGTGATGGTGTGCGTCGTCGATGCTCTCGGCCATGTTCGTGGCGAGGAAGAGGATGACCTTGGTCACTCCTTCTGGAGACGGCTTGAATATGAGCTTCTGCTTGGTGTGGGGGGTTGCTTTTGAGATGCCTCAAAAGCGCTAATGGAGGTTTTGGCCATGTTGGTTGCAATGCAAGAATCACCTTGGTGACTGCTTCTGGTGTGTCTACAACTTGAGCTATATCCGCCTCCTATTGCCACTAGACTCCATCCTTCATTCCAACAACCCCACTCTCATCCCCACCTGCTCTTCAATGGGCATGCTGCCATGGCATGTCAGCAGCAGCACCCGCCTCTCATCCCCCAGCAGCGGGTTCTCCCTCGGTCTTTCCCTCACAGTGCATCTTCCTTTCCGACCTACTCATAATCCCAACATGCTTATCTCGCACCCACCTGTTCCTCGATGGGCATGCTGCCATGGCACGTCAGCAGCAGCACCTTCCTCTCGTCCCCCAGCACCGGGTGCTCCCTCAGCCGGTCCCTCATGGCAATGATGTCGTCCCATCCTGTCATGAACACCAGCACCGCCCCTGCATCCTTGCTCCCTATAGCCCCCGTCTCCTCCTCTGCTCCCGCACCCTTGCTCCCTACACGTCCTGTCACTCCCACCCCTGAACCCCCCATGGGGTCTCTGCCTGCCGCCTGCTCTCCTCTCACCACCATGCGTCTGGAATGACCTTCCCTCTCCTCCCCCTCTTGTGTCCACTCTCGCTCCCTCCGCCCCTCCCCCCGCCCCTCTCTCCCCCCCTCCCTCTGCATCTGAGCCAGCAGCCTCGGCCCGCGCTTCACAGCAAACTCCAGAGCAGCTTCGATGAGGGAGAACCCCACTCCTTCGCCGGTCCACCGCTCCATGGATCGTTGCACAAAGGGCGAGTGGGAGGTGAAGGAGTGGTCGGCAAGAGCTTCCTGGGGTTCGGCAGGCATGTGAAAGCACGTGGGGGGGGGGAAGGGAGGGGGGGAGGGGTAGGGGGGAGGAGTGGGGAGAACAGGATTAGCATTTGAGCCAGCAGCCTCGGCCCGCACTTCACTGCGAACTCCAGGGCTGCTTCAATGAGCGAGAACCCCACGCCCTCGCCGGTCCACCGCTCCATGGATCGTTGCACGAAGGGCGAGTGGGAGGCGAAGGAGTGGCTAGAGAGTGCCTCCTGGAGTTGGGCGGGCATGTGAAGGGGGGAGGGAGGAGGGGTGGGAAGAAAGGGAAAAATGAGCACCTGTGCCAGCAGCCTCGGCATGCGGGCACGGAACGATATTAGCAAACTCCAGAGCAGCTTCAATGAGGGAGAACCCTACGCCTTCCCCAGTCCAGCGCTCCATGGATCGTTGCACGAAGGGCGAGTGGGAGGCAAAGGAGTGCTGGGAGAGTGCCTCCTGGAGTTGGGATAAGGGGGGGTTGGAGTGGAGGGTGGGGGGGGGGGGGGGGGGCAGGGGCAACATTGCAGGGGCAACATCAGAATGCTCCAGAGCAGCTTCGATGAGGGACGACCCCACGCCCTCGCCGGTCCACCGCTCCATGGATCACTGCGCAAAGGGGGAGAGGGAGGCAAAAGAGTGCTTGGTGAGAGCGTCCTCCTGGGAAGGGTGGCTAGAGAGAGATGGGGGAAAGCAAGCAGAGCAGAGGGAGCGAAGGGGGGAGAACGCGAGGACAATGAGGGGTACCAGACAGGAGCAAGGGATAGCCCAGGGCTGGCCCGGCTTGACCGGCCGGGCCAACACCGGCCAACTTTTCAGGCCAGCCAGCCCAAGTCGGGTGCATGACGGGCCACTCCGGGCTGGCCCGTGGGCGGCCCATCCCTTTTCTCAGGGAGAGAATCAGATCGGAGGAAGGGGAAAAAAAAACCCCGAAAGTCCCACCCACAGTTTCTACCAAAAGCACAGTTCCATGTTGGATGGGTCATTTGCCGAGTGAGTGGTGCGTAGAGGTATTGAGCTGACTCAAAAGCACACTCTCACATGTTGAAAGGCTAACCACCTCAGGTCTCATGGGCTCAGTAGAGTCACCTGGACGAAGGAAGGTTCCAGGCTCTCACCTGGACGAAGGAAGGTTCCAGGCTCTCACCTGGACGAAGGAAGGTTCCAGGCTCCTTCTCCTCTTCTCCATGAGGGCCATCTGTCGCCTCCTCCGCCACTGCTGCTCGCTGCCATAGTCGTCCACCTGGTGGGGTGTGGGGTGGGATGGGATGGGATGGGATGGGATGGGATGGGATGGCATGGGATGGGATGGGATGGGATGGGATGGGATGGGATGGGATGGGATGGGATGGGATGGCAGAGAGGGCATGCAACGGAAGAGGGTGGGGCATGCAACGGAAGAGGGTGGGGCATGCAACGGAAGAGGGTGGGGCATGCAACGGAAGAGGGTGGGGCATGTCCTCTATCACTCCTCTTCTCCTTGAGACCCATCTGCCGCCTCCTCCTCCACTGCTGCTCGCTGCCATAGTCGTCCGTCCACCTGGTGGGGTGTGGGATGGGATATGGTGAGATGTGTGAATGTGGTAACCAGTAACACTGTGATAATGATGCCTCCTCCGCCACTGCTGCTCGCTGCCATAGTCGTCCACCTGGTGGGGTATGGGAAGAGCAGCGGGAACGCGTAGTCAACGCATGTCTTTGGTTGGTCATAGGGTGGTGCAGTCACATTAATACAGAGAGGTTCTGAGGGGTCTCCAAATACGCCAGAGGGGGGAGGAGTGGGGGAAAGAGGGGGGAGGAGGTGGGGATGGGGGGAAGTGGGGATGGGTGGCTATGGGAGGGGAGGAGAGGAGGGGGGAGGGGGGGGGGGGAGGGGAGGGGGAGCAGGGGCTCACCTGGTTGTGCAGAGTGACCTCGTGGCCGGTGAGCTCTAACACGTCTTCAAGAAAGTACGAGCGGACAGGATAGGTGAATCCCTGAGAGAGGTTATAGGAGAGGGAGAAGAAAGGGGTTGGGGATAAGGTGGGGCGGGGTTTGAGTTGATTAGCCTTCAAGGAAGTAGGAGCTCATGGGAAGGTGAATCCTGGAGTGATCTCAAAGGGGGGAAAGCAAGGCAAGTAAGAAGGGAAGAGACAGGAAGAGGTGAGAAGGGTGCCAGAATCCCAACACCATTGAGCTGAGATGACTTTTGAGTCGACTCAAAAGTCACCATTGTGCTGAGAGTACCAGAGCGCCACTGCCACTGTGGTCAGCGGAGCATGAGAGCGCCGCCGCTGGGAGACATGCACGGACGGGGATGTGCAGCAGCATGGGAGCGGTGCTGTAGGATTGGGAGATCAGCACAGCGTCGACGTCGAGCAATCACCTCGCAGGCCATGAGCGCTGAGAGAAGCATATAAGCTTTGCCTGGAAACGAAATCTTAAACTCGAAACCCTACCAACACCTACTCGAAAACCGGAAAAACCGGAAACCACACAAGCAATCGAATGTTACCACGACACCAAAAAGCGAATGTGCCGAACCGAATCTGGCATGACGCGTGAACACTGGTGGCCAAATTTTGCGAATGACAGTGGTGGCAGTGGTGGCAGTGGTGGCAGTGGTGGCAGTGGTAAACTGCTTTCTTGGCCAGCGGCAAGTGGGTTGGTGGGGGCCGTTCGAGTTTTGTGGGATAATCTTTAAACTGCCGGCTAGGTTGTTGAAAAAATCCCTGTGTGGCGTCGCTCTCGACTACGGGTTTCCGGGGCCCTACTTTGGACATCCCGGAAATCGGCACGGCAGCATGTACAGTGGTAGTAACCCGCTTTGAACGTCATTGAAGTGACGCCCCACCTGTGCTGCTTTGGAAACCCTCTGAGAGAGCGGATGGGCGCCCCGCCCCGACGTGTGAAGTGAATGTGAACGTGCGGAGAGCGGATGGGCGCCCCGCCCTGACGTGTGAAGTGAATGTGAACGTGCGGAGAGCGGATGGGCGCCTCTGCAGCAACACTACTTATGGGAATGTGCAGCGTGGGAGCGCCACTGTAGTATTGGGAGAACAGATCTGCATTGAGCAGGCCGCTCATGAGCACTGAGAGTTGAATGCGGTGTGGTGGGGTCAACCCTAGCCCACACCCCAAATCCACCAGCAACAACACCACAACCACGCACCGGGATGTGCAGTGTGGGGGCGCCGCTGTAGTACTGGGAGAACAGGTCTGCATTGAGCGTGGCGCTCATGAGCACGAGCTTCAGGTCCGGGCGGCGGGGAAGCAGGTCTCTCAGGACGATCAGGAGAAAGTCTTATTTTGGGGGTGTGGGGGGGAGATGGGGCGGAAGAGAAAGGATGGGAAAATGGGACACATGAGGAGACTACAGAACAGAAGCAGAGAGCAGGAGCACTCAAGAGCAAGAGCTTCGGATCCGGGCGACGAGATGCATTGGTCTCAGGACGATCAGGCACCTAATAATAGACCTCAAATCTCAGATAGCGGGAAAATTTGAGGCGATAAAAAGGAGCACCAGCTTTGTCTTCCAGGTGGCAGGGGATCGTGAGAGGAACAAAGTGTTTCAGCTTTGTTCTGAGTCACTCAGAACAATGGAAGGGAAGTTGTTCGGAGAAGGAAGGGGGGTGGGGGGGGAGGGAAGATGAGAAGAGACAACTCAGAAGCATGTAGGGATATTGGGACAGGGGGTTAGTAGAATCACCTTCATTCATGCCCCTCTCGTGAATCACCTTCATTCATGCCCCTCTCGTGAATCACCTTCGTTCATGCCCCTCTCGTGAATCACCTTCGTTCATGCCCCTCTCGTGAATCAACTTCGTTCATGCCCCTCTCGTGAATCACCTTCGTTCATGCCCCTCTCGTGAATCACCTTCGTTCATGCCCCTCACGTAAATCACCTTCGTTCATGCCCCTCTCGTGAATCACCTTCGTTCATGCCCCTCTCGTGAATCACCTTCATTCATGCCCCTCTCGTGAATCACCTTCGTTCATGCCCCTCTCGTGAATCTCGTCCACCACAATGTGGGTCACGCCGTTAAGCAGGGGGTCTGACGCCAGTCGTCTCAGCAGCACCCCTGTGGTGCAGAACAGCAGATGGGTGCCCCGACTCCTGCGTGCCTCTAAACGCACTTGATACCCAACCTATCGGTGTGTGTGTGTGTGTGTGTGTGTGTGTGTGTGTGTGTGTGTGTGTGTGTGTGTGTGTGTGTGTGTGTGTGTTTGTGTGTGTGTGTGTGTGTGTGTGTGTGTGTGTGTGTTTGTGTGTGTGTGTGTGTGTGTGTGTGTGTGTGTGTGTGTGTGTAGGGGAGGGGCGGAGGGCAGTGGATGGGGAAAGGCGGGTTCAGACGCCAGTCGTCTCAGCACTCCTATGGGCCTCTAGGCGCACTTGATTGATACCCCACCTGGAGGAGGGGGCAGGGCGGGAAGAGTGGAACAGGAGAAGGGGAAAGAGAGAGTGAGCGACGAGTAATAAGCCCCCCTTGTGGAAACGGGAGCAGGTTGAGGGAATCACTCAAGGTATTTGATTTGATAGCCCGTATGGGGAGAGCGTGGGAGTGTGGGGGGGGGGGGAAGAGGAGGTAACAAGAACTTGATCGCACACATGGAGGGGGTAAGAGAAAATGGATGGGGGAAATCACTTGAGAGTTAATACATTATAGCACTGAATAATTCTTGATAGCTGGCAAGTGGGGTGAGACCGCCATAGCTTCACAGAGGCTTAACTAAAACTGTTACCCCTGATCCTTACCCCTATGCATTCAGCAACACGTTGACTAAACATTACTCAAGAAACACTCGCTGAATGCTCTCATGTCACTGCAGCAACACGTTGACCTATAGTTGACTTGGCGCTGAATACAAGTTGGCTAAAACGGAACACACCGACTGCCCAACAACAATCACCAACTGCCCAACACTCTTTCCACACTCAGCAAGTAATTGTGTAGCCAAAGCCAAGCCTATAAAAGGCACTCACCGACTGCCCAATGCTCTCTCCTCGTTCAGCAGCCACCCTCTCTGCCACTGCCACAGCCGATATCCGCCGTGGCTGTGTGCAAATGATGGAGCTCTGCGCTCCCTGCCCTGACGATATCGCCTCCTCCAGCAGATACTGCGGCAGCTGCGTGGTCTTGCCACACCCCGTCTCACCCGACACAACCACCACCTGCAGAGGGAAGGAGAGCGTTATAAAAAGAGAGAGGAGCATTCGGAATGGAGCTCTGTGCTTCCTGCCCTGACGATATTGCTTCCTCCAGCAGATCCTGCAGCAGCTGAGTGGTCTTGCCGCACCCCGTCTCGCCAGATACCACCACCACCTGGAGCATAGCAAGGGGAGAGGAAGGCAATGTATGTGTTGTGGGAATGGAGCACTGCCTTGGGCTCCGTGCCCTCAGGGCACAGCATCCTCCAGCAGATACTGTGGCATAAACCCTCCAAAAAACCTGTGATTTTGAAACCCTCCAGAAGTCCCTTGATTCCTGAACCCAACATTACCTGGTTGTTCTGAACTGCCTGCAGCAGCCTCTCCCTCTCCTTCCACGCAGGAAGGCTCTGCCTCAACGCCAGCATAGATGCCCCCTCTGGTGATGCCTGCACACTCGCAAAGCAAAGAAAAGCACATGCATAGATGTTTGTATGTGAGTAATTATGATGCATGACTGCAAGTACCACTCCATCAATCTCCAGACCAGAAGGCTCTGCCTCAACGCCAGCATAGATGCCCCCGCTGGTGATGCCTGCAAGCAAGAAGGATTAAGGGAGGTTGGATGGATGTGTTTCTCAAGAAAACCATTTCTCGAGCACAGAGTTTCCATTACTAAGTGTTTTCACATTCCTAACCAGTGTCAGCCGCTTCGATACAAGGTAGTTAACAGCTGCGATATGTGCACATCCACACAACACAACTGCTGACGTGTGATGACCCGAGCTGTTGATCTTCCGACACGCAGTGGTTTGACACGGCGCAAGAATTTGCCCTAAGCGGTTCACTCTTCCACTGCACTCATGATCCTCATTTATCCTCCACAATCCCTAACCCTCATCCTCGCCCTCTCCGCAGTCCCTGCCACCCACATACCCCTCCCCTCCCCTCCCCCCCACACACACAGACACCCACTTGCCAGTGCTGCTGCCTTCGCCTCAACCGCTTCCTCCTCTCCGCCTCCTCCTCTCCACAATACCTGCTAACCACATGAGCAGTCCCCCCCGCCTTAGTTGCTACAAACGCGTTTGGCGTTTGAACGCTAGCGTTTAAACGCTAGCGTTTGAACGCTAAACGCTCGGCAGCATGTATGTGAACGCTAGGCAAACGCTTGCCCGGGCAGGGGTAAAATTTTTACCCGGGCAGGGGTTCAAGATTCCTGTGGGGGAGGGGGGAAACATGGGGGTTCTACCAGCAAGCATTTTGTCTCATAAAAAAGAACCGTGCTTAACATTTAAGCCAGCATCCTCATATGTCATGTAAATCACCTATCCTTAAGGCTATTCTCCAACGACAATCTCGTGTTTTTTTTGGGGGGGCAGCCCGAAAAAAATCCCAGAGAGCGTTTGCGTTTTTGGGTGCGTTTGGCGTTTGCGTTCAAACGCTAGCGTTTGAACGCCAAACGCTTGTCTCCCAGAGCGTTTGTAGCAACTAAGCCCCCGCAACCGTTCCCCCCACCCATGCTCCTGCCAGCGCTGCTGCCTTCGTCTCAAGCTCTCATTTATCCTCCACAAATGCAAGCTCTCCAATCTCAAACCGTTTTCCTCCCTCCGTGTGTTAGTAATTTCGTTTTCAGACGTCTCAAGACGAGATTGCTATCACACTTCGCCTCAAGCTCGCATTCATCCTCCAAAACTGCAAGCGCTCAACCCTTTTTTCATTCTCTCCTCCTCCTCCTCCTCCTCCTCCTCCTCCTCCTCCTCCTCCTCCTCCTCCTCCTCTCCACAATCCCTGCTATCTACATGCCCACCCATCCCCACCCCATCCCCCCACCCCATCCCCCCCCCCCTCTTTCCCCCCTCCCCCACACACCTGCCAGTGCAGTTGCCTTCGTTTCAAGCTCTCGTTTATCCTCCACAGTCGTCTCCTCCTCTCCTCCTCGTCCTCTTCCATCCTTCCCTCGCCACTACTCACTACCCTTTCTTCCTCCTCCAAGTCATCCTCCTCCAAATCTTCCTCTTCTCCATCCTCCCCTCCTCACCCCTCTCCCTCTGCAACCCTGCCAGCCCTCTCCCGCCCACCTCCCTCTTCCCACCACCACCACCGGCAGCAGCAGCCGCCTTATTCCTCTCCTCCCTCTTCCTTTCCTCCTCTGCCTCCTTTCCTCCTCCCTCCTCCTTTCCTCCTCCCTCTCCCGCTTTGCCCTCACATCCACCACCACCCGATCGATAGCCTGAAGCACTTCAGGGGGAAGCTCAGCTGCAGGGGGGGGAGCAGGGGGGCGGGGGGAAGGGGAGAGAACAAAGAGCGGAGGCTTGCCCGAGTGTGGGAAAGCGCTTTGTCCCACTTCGACCTGACACCCACCACCACCCGATCCATAGCTTGAGGCAATTCTGGGGAAAACTCGGCTGCAGAGTAGGGAGCGGCGGCGGTCGTATGCAAGGCATAGAGGAAGAGTGGGCAGCGTATGTTAAATGGTGGCTCGTTGAAGAGGCAGAGAGGAAGGGAAGCAGAAAAAGCACGGGGAAAATTGGCACGCAAGCACCGCACTTCACCACATTGCACTCACCTGTCTCTGTGGGCGCTTGGAATCCAACTCTGGACGGTAATGGGGCAGAGGGTCCTTGCTGAGCACAAGAGACTTGTTGTACATACGACTGAAAGGGGACGGTGTTTGGGAGGGAGGGGAGTGGGGGGGGAAGGGAGAGGGGGAGAAGAGACTCATTGTACATGCGACTTGATGGAAGGGGGGGAGTGGAGGCGGCCGAAGGGTGATGTGGGAAAGGGAGTGAGCGGAGAGGAATGAAGACGGAAAGTTTGGAGGAGGGGCATCATCGGGTCCTAACACTAAATACTGAACACATGGCTTAACACTAAATAAATGTTGTACACATCGCTACGGTGAAGTGGGGGAAGCCAAAAGGCAGGGGGATACTGGGAGGGGCTGGGTTGAAGGGAAAATGGGATAGTGAGTGAGAGGGGAATGTGGGGCAGAGCGTCCTTGCTTGGCACTAGGGACTGGTTGCACATAAACTGGGTAAAGTGGGGGGGGGGGGAGATGGGGATGCGGGAGGGGCGATTGGGTAGAAAGAGTGGGAACTTTGTTGAGGCACCTCAAGGATGTGGCAGAGGCTCCTTACTAAGAACAAGAGACTTGTACAGATGCCTGAGAGGGGCGGGTGTCTGGGGAGGGGAGTGGCAGAAGAGGAGTGAGAAGGGAGATTGGGAGGTGGTAGTGGGGCAGAGGGTCCTTGCTGAGGACAAGAGTCTTCTACATAAGCCAGAGAGTGACTGTGTTGCCTATGCTTTTGAGGACGGGAGGAGGTAGTGAGGCAGAGGGTGACTGTGCTTATGTGGGGGTTACTGTGCTGATGTGGAGGTAACTGGGCTTATGTGGGGTTAACTTGAAACCCAAGCCTCAAATCCCAAACCCGTACCCCTTGAATCCTAAACCACCAGTGGATGCGGAATGGAGCCACAACCCTCTTGATATCCTGCTCGTGCCGCCGGTTCTCCTTGCCCGTCAGCACCATCTCCCTCACCTTGGATTCCCTCACCACCCCAAAACCCCCAAACAAACCCCTAGACCCCCAAACCCCTAGACCCCCAAACCCCTAGACCCCCAAACCCCTAGACCCCAAACCCCTAGACCCTGTCCATCTGTGAATGCGGAACTGAGCCGCGATCCTCTTAATGTCCTGCTCACACCGCCGGTTCTCCTTGCCCGTCAGCACCATCTGCCTGAGCTTCAATTTGAAAACCCCTAAAACCCTAGGGTTTAGAACTCACCTGTGAATGCGAAACTGGGCCGCAATCCTCTTGATATCCTGCTCATACCGCCGGCTCTCCTTCCCCCGTCAGCACCATCTCCCTCCTGCCGCTGTCCCCTGCAAACAGCGCCAGATCTTGCTGCCACTCCTCCTCCTTAAAGCCCTTGGTAACCTGAATGCTTTGCAAAGAGAGGCATGCAGGGAGGGGCGTGGCATGATGGGCACTGGTCAGGCCGGGAGGGGATGGGAAGGGACCAGCTCCTGCTGCCACTCCTCCTATTTAAATCCCTTGCTGGGCCCACCGGCAACCGGAATGCCTTGCAGGAAAACAGGCAGGGAGAGGGGCGTGGAATGATAGGCACTGGTCAGGTCAACGCGGGATGAAGGGGGAACGGATCCTCCTGCCTTTCCTCCCTGGAGCCCTTGCTGGGCCCACACCCACTGGCCACCTGAATGCTTTGCAATGAGAGGCATGCAGGGAGGGGAGCGTGGCAGGATAGGCATGGTCAGCGCAAGAAGGGGTGGAACGGAGCCAGCTCCTGCTGCCACTCCTCCATAAAGCCCTTGCTGGACCCACTGGCAACCTGAATGTTTTGCAATGAGATGGGCAGGAGGGCACATGGCATGATAGGCACACCTTATGAGGCACGCCTTATGAGGCACGCTTTATGAGGCACGCCTTATGAGGCACGCCTTATGAGGCACGCCTTATGTGGCACACCTTATGAGGCACACCTTATGAGGCACACCTTATGAGGCACGCTTTATGAGGCACGCCTTATGAGGCACACCTTATGAGGCACACCTTATGGGGCACACCTTATGAGGCACACCTTATGGGGCACACCTATGGGGCACACCTTACGCAATGGGTTGCCTCTGTCGCCCCATCAGCCGCACTCTCTCAGCTCGTGAGTTTGCACGCTAACTCCCATACCTCCCCCCACATTTCCCCTTACCCTAAACCTGAAACCCGAACCCATGCCCTCCGTGATATCTACCTGTGAGCTGCCAGTTGCCTCTGTTGCCCCATCAGCACCACTCTCTCAGCTCGTGAGTTTGCAACGGTAACTCACAACGCTTCACCCATCTTACCCATTACCTCAAACCCCAAACCCTGGCCCAGAACCCCCCCCTCCAGATCAAGCTGTGGGCTGCCAGATGCGCGTCTCTCAGGCTTTCCACTCCAGCGCCTGCAATGGCAATTCCCATCCTCCCCCATCTTTCGCCTTGCCTGGCCCTTTCATTTCCCTATGTGTTGATAGAAATGTGGATTCTGCGTTTCAAGCGCTAGTGCAAAACACTCGCCTGGAAAAACGTTTTTCTGCAACATGGATTCCCCCCCCCACCAGATCTACCTGTGAGCTGCCAGTCGCATCTGTCGCCCCATCAGCCGCTTTCTCCCATGGCTTCCCCTATCTTTCCCATCTCCTCAAACCCTGAACCCTGAACTGCAAACCCTCCCCCTCCATATCTACCTGTGAGCTGCCAGTTGCGTCTGTCGCCCCATCAGCAGCATTCTCAGCTCCTGCGCGTGCCGCACTGACTGCGCCTCTAGCTGCTGCTGCTGCTGCGGATGTGGCAGATCGTGACAATGGAGATGGTGACGCTAACGAGAGGGCCGACTTCTCACTGTCCTTTCGCATTTTTCCCTGACGTCATCCCCCCTTCAGTCACTCTTTCGCCTTCGCATTCTTGGATTCGCCACCAGAATGTCTCGCAGGGTGGGATGGGGGAAGGGCGGGGGGAGGAGCGGGGGGCGGGGCGGTGGGCGGAACAGGCTGCAGAACTTGGGGGGGCGGCGGACCCGCTGGGGCACCGCTGGGGGCGGAGGAGCGAGGAGGGGCGCCGGGGCCGCGGAAGGGGTGCGGCTGCAGGGGGAGCCGCGGGTTGCGCCGTTGCGCGGGGCGAGGGGGCTCGGGGCGGGGGCCGCGGCTGCAGCTTGTGAGGGCCATGCTTGGGTAGATGCAACTTCACTCTACCCTCCTGCCGTGACGATCCCCCCTGCCACCTGCGGCAGACGCTGCTGATGACCCTGAGTGGAACGCGGGTGATCCAACGGCATGCGGACCGATCCTGTTAGCGGGTGAGACCACTAACGGGGACAATGCGAAGGGGGGCGGAGCAGAGTGGGTCTAGCGCGATGGACGAGGGAGGATGCGGAGGATGCGGATCCGTAGTAGGCGGACAGTAGCCGTTGACTGTACGCGATGTGACTGTATCGAATAAGAGGATCGTGGGAGATTTGAACGGCGCGGGAAGCGAGGATCGCGAGAGCGGAACTCGGCGCGCTTTGCGGAAAACGGCTAGTTAGGGTCGAAGCAGTACTAGTACTAGTACTAACAGGGAGTCTACTAACGGGTACACGGGAAAGGAGCCGATTCAAAGCACCCACGACGCGACAGACGCTAGATCGGGTACTCGCCGGCTTCGTGGAAGACACCGCAAGGGACGCCGCCGCTGCTGCTGCAGCCGCCGCAAGCACTAACGGCGGGGATCAGGGCTTTTGCGCTAGCGAGCT